AGGGAAGGAAGGAAGGAAGGAAGGAAGGAAGGAAGGAAGGAAGGAAGGAAGGAAGGAAGGAAGGAAGGAAGGAAGGGGCTTCTTGCTCCTCGTGGCCTGGTGCTGCTGAGAGCAGGGGGTGGGGCTTGTTGCATGTGCCCGCCCCCTGGGCTCTTTACTGCCGGAGCTCTGCTCCTGTGCCCTCCCGCAGGAAATGACCTCTGCTGTTAACTATTGGGCAGGTTCGTAAGGGAGCAGGCCCTCCTTTGGGTATGTTGGTTCCAAAACCTTACAGGGATTTGATGTGCAGCCCACCTTAATTGCCTGGATCCCCTGGGGAAAGGGAAGGATTAAAACATCCAGGTATCCTGAAACCTTTGTATTGTATAGCAGGGGTTCCCCAGCCTTTTTTGGCGCCTGCTGGGCACATTCAGAATTCTGAGACAGGGGGGCGGACCCAGCCACAAAATGGCTGCTGTAGAAGATGGAGCCACATATGCAGAAAAAGCCCAAGTGCGGGGGAGAACGGGGGGTTATTTTTTAAAATACACCAGGAAAGAGACCACACCTGGCCCCGCCCACTTTCCAAAAACACTTGGTGGGCACCAGGAAAGTTGTCAGTGGGCACCGCAGCGCCCACGGGCACCATGTTGGGGACCCCCTGCGGTACAAGACAGAGGAACCTTCTACCGACTAGCCAGTGAGTTTGGCCAGACGTTATCTGCAGTGTACACAAGAGTGGGAGTTCAACGGCCACCCTGGCCTGCCCTGAACCTATTTGCCTGGCGTACACAAACGACACACGCACACGACAGGCCGGGATTTGGAGAGGCAGCTCACCCTGTTCGGCAGAGCGAGGGCGACGGGATGGCTGCCGAGTTTGGGGAGCTGACTCAGACTCCCCTGCAGAAAGTATGGATCCCCCGGGCCAGCAAGCGCCTGCAGCGTAGGGGGTGTGAGTTGGAATCTCTTCTGCTCTCTCCGGAGGGTTTGTCTCTCCTCCACTCCAGGGGTGGCTTTCCTTCACCACTAGGCCGGAGGGGCCGGCTCACTGGGGGAGTAACCTTTATACCTCGAGAAAAAGATGGATGCGGTGCGAGGCGTCCGGCGAAATGAGCCCGCTGGACCTCAGCCCAAACTTCTTGGTGGGGAAGGGGGCCCCTGACTCACTGAACCAGTCCTCCCACCAGGGTGGCTGCCAGGTGGGGTAACAGCGGCTCGTTTCACAAGGCTGCTCACTCCGAACGTGCCTGGAGGTCGCCGCAGGTTCCAAGTTTTCAGTCAACCTGGGAGAGGAGCGGTCGTTGAGGCGGGAGGCGGGTTCCCTGGGCAGCTCTGTTTCGCGGGCACTCCCTGGTCCCTCGGAACAACCTCTCTCCATCTCTCCCCCTCTCTGCAGCGTCCGTGCCCCAGTTCACCAATTCGCCCAGCATGGTGATCATGGTGGGGCTCCCGGCTCGGGGGAAAACCTACATCTCGAAAAAGTTGACCCGCTACCTCAACTGGATCGGGATCCCCACGAAAGGTAACGAGGAAGGCGGGCGGGGGTGAGGGCCCAGATGGGGAGGGGGACCTTCTCCGCCACACACGGGGATGCCAGCCTCCAGGTGGGACCTGGGGATCCCCCGGAATTACAGATCGCCTCCGGAGCACGGAGATCAGTTCTCCTGGAGGAAATGGATGCTTTGGAGGGGGGAGTCAAGGACACGGTGCCCCGCTGTGGTCCTTGTCCTCCCCAGGCTCCATCCCCAAATCTCCAGGAGTTTCCCAGCCTGGATTTGGCAACCCTACCTTGCCTGTCCCCTGCGGGTGGCTGGGGGGGGACCTGGTGAACCTAACCAGGGGCTCCCTGAAGATCCCAGTCTCCATTTCCCCAGTGTTCAATGTCGGGCAGTATCGCCGTGAAGCCGTCCAGACTTACAAGAATTATGAGTTTTTCCGCCCGGACAACGAAGAGGCCATGCAGATCCGGAGGTGAGGAAATTATCCCAAACGGTGGTAGGGCGGAGATTCTGAAATGAGAGGTCAGCCACTGAACCACACCTGGGGATGTGGGGAGGGGGGGATATGCCATAGCTAGAAGATCTGGGTAAGCATGCCGATCAAGGACCAGGAGAGCAGGGTTGATACCCGCACTCGTGTCCAAGTATGAAGTTCCCCTTGCAGGGTGGACTAATGAATAGGTCTATCACTCTCAGGGGGTTCCTGAGCAGTGTAAGGGAAATCCACAGATGCTGGCCTGAACCCTTGGGAGAAAGGGTCATGATTCAAAGGAGGTGATATCTAAGCCGCATTGCAGTAATAATAATTAATAATTATCATATGGCATCGTGTGTAGTATAGCCAGGAGATCCTAAGATGTCTGGCAGTCTAAAGTTCAAACTCTTTTAGTGTTATGCACCACTAGGTGGCAAGCTAGACTTGGGGTTGTTGTTTTTTTTGAAGAAGAGATTGGATTTATACCCTAGTCTTCACTACCCGAAGGAGTCTCAGAGCGGCTTACAGTCTCCTTTCCCTGCTCCTCCCCACAACAGGACACCCTGTGAGGTAGGTGGGGCTGAGAGAACTCTGTCGAGAACTGCTTGTGAGAGAACAGCTCTGAGAGAACTTGTGATTGACCCAAGGTCACACCAGCAGCATGTGTGTGTGGGGGGGAGGAGTGGGGAATCAAACCTGGTTCTCCCAGATTAGAGTCCGTGCTCCTAACCACTACACCAAACTGGCTCTCATTTTTCTCATTCTTGTGGGCGGAGTGAGCGCTGAAAGAGCTGCAGCTGACCCAAGGTCACCCAGCAGGCTTCATGTGGGTGTATAAATCCAATCTCTTCTTCTTCTCCCTCACAGGGTGTCTGTTGTGGGGAGGGGAAGGGAAAGGAGTTTGTAAGCCGCTCTGGTAGTGAAGGGCGAGGTATAAATCCAATCTCTTCTTCTTTTACCTCACAGGGTGTCTGTTGCGGGGAGGGGGAGGGAAAGGAGTTTGTAAGCCGCTCTGAGACACCTTTGGGTAGTGAAGGGCGGGGTATAAATCCAATCTCTTCTTCTTCTTCTTCCTTGTCCATAAGAAGCAGTAACTCCTTTTCCTCTTTGGCTTGTTTGGGAGTTCACTCTAATTACCCAGACATTCTGCCAAATCCTCCTCCAGTATCCTTTGTCTGTATACGGCTTTCCTGACTGAAAACCTAAATTCTCCCTCAGAGCAGATTTAATAGACAATGGGGTTTCTCGTCTTCTCCCTATAGAAGTACTTTTCTGACTATTGCCTATCAGAAAACACTGACTCCCAAATGTCTCTTCCCGCAGAAGCCAACCCCCCTGGCTACTGATCCAGATGTTAGATCAGCTGTTTTATCTCCTCTCTCAGCTGATGTTGGCCAGTCAGAGACCGAGTAGAGCAGCCAATCACATAAGCACTTCTCTCCAGGGAAGATTAACTCTTGAACTCCCTGACTCTCTGATACAAGCAGTATTTTTTAGAAAAAACCTGCTTTCCTTTGCAATCCGTCACAGATGTACTCCCAGCTAGAAACCTTCATTCTGTGGCTACTGGTTAGAGAGAGTTCAGTACTCAGTGAAACTTTTGGAGTTTTCCTCATGGGCTTTGGTGCAGTTTCTGTCCCACCTCCTGAGGTTTTCCCCCCTCCAGCATGGAAGAGCAATAAGGTACTAGTTCCCCGACTTTGTGGGTATGTGTCACAGTGGCTTGAGGGGGAAGTGAAAAAGTCAACCGGGAACAGTCAAGTCAAAGGAAGAGTCAGGTCAAAAGGACAACCAAAGGCCTGCAGCCAGAAGCAATGAAAGCACTGCATGCCATCTCACGAGGATTAGGTATCCTTCTAGGGGCGGAAATGCATCTCCAGTTTAAGAGTTGCATATGTCTACAGCATTCCCACATTGTCTTTAAAAGCATTCCGCTCATTCTGAAAGAGAAAATATTTCATAGGAGGCTTTTCTCCCCCAGTATTCCTCCAAATTTCAAGTTTTTCTGTAGGAAAGGGGGGGGGGGCAAAAGGTCTTGGGAAAAACAGGAAAAAATTATTTCCCCCTGATTATATCTTTTTCTCTCTTCTGGGCCTTCACATAACTAATGATGATGGAATTAAAGAGTGGGGTCTGGTTGATTTCTGACACTATCTATGTTGTTCCATGTGGGACCCTATGACCTGAGTAAGTGCAACAACCAAATGTGCATCCTCTACTGTCCATTTTTTTTTGCAGTGTAGACATAAGAACATGAGAGAAGCCATGTTGGATCAGGCCAGTGGCCCATCCAGTCCAACACAATGTCACTCAGTGGCCAAAACCCAGGTGCCAGCAGGAGGTTTACCAGTGGGGCCAGGACTCCAGAAGCCCTCCCACTGTTGCCCCCCCAAGCACTAAGAATACAGAGTATAGTTGCCCCAGATACCTTGTGGCTAATAGCCACTAATGGACCTCTGCTCCATATGTTCATCTAATTCCCTCTTGAAGCTGTCTGTTCTTGTAGCCGCCGCCACTTTCTGCAGCAGTGAATTCCATGTGTTAATTATTCTTTGGGTGAAGAAATATTTCACCTGTTCTAAGCTTACTGCTCATTAATTTGAGTGCCCACGAGTTCTTGTATTGTGAGTAGGCATAAACTGACCTGAAAAAATACCTGAAAAATGACTTACCGGTATTTTTTTGGTATCATTAAAGCTTAATACATATCAGAGAATCTGATCAACTACCCATATAGCTGAGACCGAATAAAGCCGAATTTTTCAGCTTTTATTCGGGTATATTCTGCTATGCCGAATGGCTGGTGGGCTCTTATTGCAACTTGGTTTAAACTGAGCTGCAAGAGGAGCCATCCCCAGCCGAGGCGGTGTGGAGCTCTCAGCTCCCACCCACCCTCGTTGGTCTTCCCTTGCCTCCCCGCGACACGTAGACCCTGGGGACAGCTTTTCCTGCAGCACAGTTTAAACCACCCTACAGGGGAAGCCAAGTATTTTTCTTCTCAAGTCTATTGGACCCAGAAAAAAATTGGGATTTCTGAAAAAACTGGGATTTTGGGGGGTCCAATAGACCCAAACTGAAAAATACTGGGTTGTTTTTTTTGCACACCCCTAATTCTGAGAAGGGCGAAATGTACTTCTTTCTTTACCTTCTCTATCCTATGCATAATTTTGTAAACCTCTATCATGTCACCCCGTTTCTCCAAGCTAAAGACACTGTAGGCCAGGGGTGAACAAAATGCATGCAGGGCTCTTATTAGAGCTGCCATTTCTCTGGGTTGAGAAATTCCTGGTGGTTTGGGGGGGTAGAGCCTAGGGAGGGTGGGGTTTGGGGACGGGAGGGAACTCAGCAGGGTATAATGCCATAGAGTCCACCCTCCAAAGCAGCCATTTTCTCCAGAGGAAGCTTTGGGAAGACATTAGAGAGAGGTTGCATTGATCCACATTATTGTCATTCCTGTTTGTGCCACGGCAAGAGATTGGTGACAAACATCAACTGATAGAGTTGAAAAAGACACACGAAACCGCAGTTTAATCCTAGGAAAGTGTGTTCTCTTTATCTCTTACATTACTTGGAACTACATGTTTTCAAATAAAGGAGTGATAAACACTGTTTGGGAACTCATATAACGAGGACTCCTCAGTTTGCTTTGCACACTTTACAGTTCCGTCAGGACTTCTCAAAGAGTAAACATTCCAGGAGCTCAGCCAGAACAACGTCAAGAATAACTACATCAAGATTTTGTATTGTTTTGTATTGTACTCAGGGCTATTTTTGGGCAGGAACGCACAGGAACGGAGTTCCGGCAGGCTCCTGAGTTGTCCATGTCCAGCAGGAACTCATTAGCATAATAGGCCACACCTAACAGCAGACACTCATTAGGATTGGCTACATTAGGGGCGTGTGGCCTAACATGCAAAGAAGTTCCTGCTACAAAAAAAGCCCTGGGTTTTGGCAACAAAGTAAACAGAATAAGAAGCAAAAGGTGGGTGTGGTTGGATGACCACACTTCTGGTAACATGTGGGGTGTGGTCTAATGTGCTAATGAGCTGTGCTGTCAGGGGTGTGGCCTACTATGCTAATGGGTCTCTGCTGTTGGGTGTGGCCTATTATGCTAATGAGTCCCTGCTGGGCTTTTTCTACCAAAAAAGCCCTGATTGTACTCATATTATCATTTACTGGCTTGGCTTATGTTCAGGAAATGTACTTCATATATAATGCATGAATGCTAGCTAATACAGGAAATTTGTTATAAGGAAATTTGTTATAATAATACAACTGTGTTAAAGATGTAGAAGAGTCATTTTCTTTGGAGAGCCCTAAAATTCCTATTGTGATTACACCAAAGCCTGTCTAGTTTTTGAGACATTTTCTCCAGAGGAGCTGATCTCAGTCGTCTGTAGGTCAATTGTAATAGCAGGAGACATACAGAGGTTGTTTGCCATTGCCTGCTTTTGCATCATGACCAGTGTTCCCTCTAAGCTGAGTTAGTGTGAGCTAGCTCACAATTTGTTAGCCTCCGGCTCACATATTTTTGCCTTCACTCAGAAAGGACAGCTCCAGAGCAAACTAATTTATGCAGTAGCCAAATTGCCCACTCACAACGTTATTGCCAGTAGCTCACGAAGTAGAATTTTCACTCACAAGACTCCACAGCTTAGAGGGAACATTGATCAACACCCTGGGTATTCTTTCAAGATCTCCCATTCAAATAATAGCCAGGGATGACCCTGCTTAGTTTCCAAGATCTGGTGAGATCGGGGTAGCGTGGGCCATCCAGGTGAGAACTTGGCACCTGCAACTGACTAAAGAAGATGTCAGGTGAAGAACCGCGCCGGGGAGGGCATTTGGGGGTGTACCACCACCCTTTGGGGGCCTCTGAAAAGCCAGTTTGGTGTAGTGGCAAAGTGCGCAGACTCTAATCTGGGAGAACCGGGCTTGATTCCCCAACTCCTCCACTTGCACCTGGCTGGATGACTTTGGGCAAGCCGTAGTTCTGTCAGAGCTGTCCTTGAAAGGGCAGTTCTCTCAGCGCTCTCTCAGCCCCACCTGACCCACAGGGTGTCTGTTGTGGGGAGGGGAAGGGAAAGGAGATTGTAAACCGGTCTGAGACTCCAAGTGAAGGGCGGGGTATAAATCCAATCTCCTCCTCTCCTCCTCCTCCTCCTCTTCTTCTTCTCTGAGCAGGTTGCCATGGGACCGGACAATCCCTTAGACATGGGAAGTTCTTTATAAAAGCGAAATGTTACTGCGATTATGCAAAACTGGAGGTGGATCTCAGCCTCTCCCCTTCTTCTCCTTCTCCACCAGGCAGTGTGCCTTGGCAGCACTTCGGGACGTTCACACCTACCTGAGCCTCGAAGAGGGCCAAGTTGCGGTAAGAGGCCCACGTGGACCAATTGCCCCACCTAGGTTTGGCAACTCCAGGTTGGAAATTTCCTGGAACCTTTTGAGGCAGAGCCTGGGGGACGGACGGATTTGGGGAGGGGAGTGACCATTGAGGTCCCCATACATTGTCACACAGCCCGCCTTGCGAAGCAGCCATTTTCTCCAGGGGAGATAATCCAGGTAATTTGGAGCTCAGTTGTTATTCAGGGAGATCTCCAGGTCTCGCCAGGAGGCTGGCAACCCCAGCCCCACCTCAGATCACCTTGTTCAGCCACGGCACTCTTTCGCCCCCTCCTCTCATGCCTTACCCAGGTTTCCTTTTTAAAAAAATTATCTTTTTATTATTTTCTCAAGGGAAAGAAAAAGTGGGATACAGAAGGGAAAAAGGGGAGGAGGGAAATATAGTTTCAACAAGTCTGTGAAATATTATGAATTGTGACATACACAGGGGTCATTTCCTGCAGGAGCGGAGCTCTGGCAGTAAAGAGCCCAGGGGGCGAGCACATGCAACAAGCCCCATCCCCTGCTCCCAGCAGCCCTCAGTCAGAATAAGAAGCAGCCAGGTAAGCTGCAGAGGCCTCCCCCCCCGTCCAAAACAGTCCAGTGGCACCTTTAAGACCAAGTTTTATTCAGGTACAAGCTCTCCCTCCTCTGTGAGGGCAGATCTGCACGTTCCCCCCCCCTCAATAGCTAGCAATCCAAAACAGTCCAGTGGAGCCTGAGCGGTAGGTGTTGCCTTCTGACACACTTCCGGTGATGTCAGGGGGTATGGCATATGCAAATGAGTTATGCTAATGAGCTCCTGCACCTCTTTTTCTACGAAATGACCCCTGGACATACAAGTAACATCAAATGTATCACCAAATGTATTACATACTTCAAATCAGGGGTCTATTCGTAGAAAAAGAGGTGCAGGAGCTCAGTAGCATAACTCATTAGCATAACTCATTTGCATATGCCACACCCCCTGACATCACTGGAAGTGTGTCAGAAGGCAACACCCACCTCTCAGGCTCCACTGGACTGTTTTGGATTGCTAGCTATGGGGGAGGGAGGGACGTGCAGATCTGTCCTCACAGAGGAGGGAGAGCTTGTACCTGAATAAAACTTGGTCTTAAAGGTGCCACTGGACTGTTTTGGACCGGGGGGCTGGGGGGCGCTCGGTAACTTACCTGGCTGCTTCTTGCTCTGACTGAGGGCTGCTGGGAGCAGGGGGAGGCTTGTTGCATGGGCCCGCCCCCTGGGCTCTTTACTGCCGGAGCTCCGCTCCTGTGCGCTCCTGCAGGAAATGACCCCTGATTCAAATATAAAAACAATGAATGAAGCATCAGTTTTACAGAATTTTGGGTTAGATTCTCTCTGTAAGGAATAAACGCAAACTCTCCCAAAATTAGCAATAATAGATTAACGCTAAAAGAGAACACATCTTTAACAGCTGAATGGACTGCTGTACTGAAAACCTAAATATTTTCTTAATTGTTTATCTAAATCTGAATTTTACTCCTACTGGTTATTTAAATATCAATGGAATACAAAATAAGATATTGAAATTATAATCAATTATCTCGCCATTATCTTCAATATGACAGTCAAATAATTCCAGAACTAAAAAAGAAAAAAGGGAATTGTCCCCATGATATAAGTAATAAGCTTGCCATTCCTGCCGAAATTCATTCCGTGGTCTTTGGTTTGCCTTACCCAGGTTTTTGATGCCACTAACACCATGCGGGAACGACGGGGCCTCATCCTACAGTTTGCGAAGGAACACGGCTACAAAGTAAGCAGAGGAGGCTAACGGTGGTCGTTCCGGGTAAAGATCTCGAGCTCGGGCTAAAACGACGCAGTTCAGTAGGCAATTGCATTTCTTCACTGGCTGTTGTTGGTTCGCACGCCGCAGAGTTGCTCATTCTCTCTTGGGAATTTCCTGGAGATTTGTGAGCCGTGCCTAGGGAGGGCAGGGGGTCTGGGGAGAGAGGGCCGAGGGTCCCCTCTGCCCACCACGAACGCCCCGCAAGAATTCTCCTTTGTGAGCTACCGGCATTCAAGTGGTGAGCGATTGGGCTCCTGCATAAGTTAGTTTGCTCTGGAGCCCTCCCTTCCCTTCACACAAAAAGGTGCGAGCTGGAGGCTAAAAAACTGTGAGCTAGCTCGCACTAACTCAGCTTAGAGGGAACACTGCCACTGCCTCCTGCCCACCTGCCTCTGCGTCCCCCACCAATGCTCCCTCTAAGCTGTGGAGTCTCATGAGCAAAACTTCTCCTTTGTGAGCTACTGACATTAAAGCTGTGAGTGAGCGATTTGGCTACTACATCAGTTAGTTTGCTCTGGAGCCCTCCTTCCTGAGCTAAGACAAAAATCTGTAGGCTGGAGGCTAAAAAACTGTGAGCTAGCTCACACTAACTCAGTTTACAGGGAATACTGTCCCCCACCACCTGCACTCATCATAGATCCCTTAATGGTCGGCGGCATCCGCAAGCGAGCCACTGGGGGACCCCACCAGAAGCCCCAGAGCCCTGGACAGCTGCCCCAGCTTGCGTCTGCTGATGCCGCCTTTGGAGGATGCACTTTCTTTGGCGAAGGTGGGGGGGGGGATTTCAGCTTCTCCAGCCCCAGATTGTGCTGCTGTCACCATGTTGCTCTTTGGCCACAGGTTTTCTTCATCGAATCCATCTGCGATGACCCAGACATCATCCAGGAGAATATCACGGTAAGCGAGACACGACTTCTGCTCCTCCCTCTCTTGCCCCACGTCAAACGTCTTGGCAAGAGGGCTGGTTCTTCAGGTGAGCCACCCAAATGGCTCGTTTTGGAGGCGCCGCGTGAAGGAGCACCGGTGCACGCCAGGGGCTGGTCTCCGCCAAGCTACCACAGGGCGGTGACCGATGTCCGTCTGCACTGGGGGGCCAGCTTCAAGCCTGGATCTGGTGCAGCCTGGGAGGTGGGTGTCCCTTGCTTGGGCAATAGACTACCTTGAAGCATTCTGGGGAATGCTTAATTCTCTGCAGAAATACTGGACGTTAATCCTCTCTAGAGCCAACAGGGAGCCAAGCGACCCCTAATTTTGAAACCACCCTGACCTTGGATGGTCCGGGCTCGCCTGATCTTCTCAGATCTCAGAAGCGAAGCAGGGTCAGCCCTGGTTACTCTTTGGCCTGGGATAGCCAAGACTTGTCAGATCTCAGAAACTAAGTAGGGTCATCCCTGGTTATTGGATGGGGAGAAAAACTGGAAAAAAGGGGGGGGGGGACTCAACCCAGGGTATGACTATGAACCAAATAGGGCTAAGCTAAACCATATATATGAAAAAGTACAAATATTTATTAAGGTGTACACGTGTTAAAACTTTCCTGATTAAAAATTGCTTTGTCTAAAATCAGACTGTAACAGCTTGTCCACTTTACATACAAATGATGGGTAAAAACGTTTCAACCGAAGACCATACGCGTTTCGCCCCCTAAGGGCCTTCCTCAGTGGTCACTATTATCTATATATTCTAGACACACATTCAAAGACCTGTTACAGAATTCTAGTATCCATATAATTAAACCAGATGTTGTTTCCTTGTCAACTTATAATTGGACTCCTGGTATTAGTGATGGGCCATAGGTATAGCCTTATCACCACCACAACTTATTCTGGTAACAGCGATTTTGTAGGTCTGAATGTGCATCCCTCCATCAAGGTGGTTCATATTGGATGGGGAGACCACCAAGGAAGTCCAGGGTTGCTATGCAGAGGCAGGTCATGGCAAACCACCTCTGTTCGTCTGTACCCTGACCTGGATGGCCCGGGAGAGCCAGATTTCATCAGATCTCAGAAGCTAAGCAGGGTCATTCCTAGTTAGTACTTGGATGGGAGACCGCCCAAGGAAATCCCAGGATCGTGGCACAGAGGCAGGCAACAGCAAATCACCTGTGAACGTCTCTTGCCTTGAAAACCCTACAACGTTGCCATAAATCAGCTGCAAATTGGTGGCACCTTCCCTCACCTCCCTTATTTTGTTCCTAATAGGCACGGGTCATTTCGTAGAAAAAGAGGTGCAGGAGCTCATTAGCACAACTCATTAGCATAACTTATTTGCATATGCCACACCCCCTGACGTCACCGGAAGTGTGTCAGAAGGCAACACCCACCGCTCAGGGTCCACTGGACTGTTTTGGATTGCTAGCTATGGGGGGGGGGAACGCTCAGATCTGCCCTCACAGAGGAGGGAGAGCTCGTACCTGAAGGCAGGCCGGGGGAGGGGGGGGCTCTGCAACTTACCTGGCTGCTTCTTGCTCCTCGTGGCCTGACTGAGGGCTGCTGGGAGCAGGGGGCAGGGCTTGTTGCATGTGCCTGCCCCCTAGGCTCCTTACTGCCGGAGCTCTGCTCCTGTGCGCTCCCGCAGGAAATGACCCCTGCTAATAGATGTGAAAACAGATCAGGGGTGGCTTTTCCCAGTAAGGAAAATGTTAAGGAATGCAGTTTTCTGTCTTGATAATGCCTACCGCGAATGCCTACCGGGAAGGTCTGGATATGGTTAGTCATCTTTTTGGGTTTTGGAACTGAGGATTGAGCACTTTATTTGTATTGTGAATGGTTTTAAACTGTACAGTATGTTTTAAATGTATAGGATGTTTTTATTGTTGCAAGATTTCTTGCTCTGTAAGCCGCCCTGAGCCCTACAGGGGAGGGCGGGGTATAAATTTAATAAATAAATAATAAATATCCCTCCACAGCTCGCTTTGCAAAAGAAATAAATAGTCGCTGGTGGAGTCCAGCTCTTGGAGAGGAGGGAATTACACTCTGCACGTGCTCTGTGACCCATCACATGTTGCAGGAGTAAATTCTGGCCTAGGAATCAGTAGCTGGGGTCCAGCCCCTGCGATTTCACCCTCAAAGCCAGAACTTCAGCCAGTGGCTAACATCTTGTCTGAGTAGCCGGCACACCCCTCTTTCGCCGGCTTCTATCCATGGGCCCAACCGGGTTCTGTGCATTTCTCTGCCCCTTTCTCACTCAGTTCTCTCATTTGCTCCCCCTTCGCCCAGCAAGTCAAGCTGACCAGCCCCGACTATAAAGACTGCAACCGGGACGAGGTGGTCGACGACTTCCTGAAACGGATCGAGTGCTACCAAAAGACCTACCAGCCCATCGATGACGAGCTGGACAGGTAAGGAGCCAGCTCGCCTGCGGCTGTGTGAGGTTTTCTCTTTAGGAGATGGGGAGAGGGGGGTGTACTTCACAGGGCTGGCGGCTTAAGCTGAATTTTCACAGAAGGCCAGCTGTCAGAAGGAAAAAGCAAATCCGTATTATTTAGGGCTGCATTCAGTCAACAAGTGGAAGACCGGGAATTCTCACCAAGCTATTCTGAAAAAAAGGAAAACAAGAGCTGCGTCCAGCATTCTGTGTCCGATAGCAGCTTGGCTACACTTCTAAGCAGAACCTGATGACGATGCCCTTCCCCTCTTCCCGGCCTCTGGTATTCAGAGGTGGTTTGCCATTGTCTTCCTCTGCGTAGTGACCCTTCACTTCCTTGGTGGTGTCCCATCCAAGTACTCACCAGGGCTGACCCCGCTTCACTTCCAAGATCTGATGAGGTCTGTCTAGGCTGGGCCATCCAGCTCAGAGCAGAGACAACGAGGGGTGGTTTTCTGTTGATTGCCTCTGCGTAGCAACCCTGGAATTCCTTGGTGGTCCCCCATCCAAATACTAACCAGTACCGACCCTGCTTAGCTTCCGAGATCTGATGAGGTCTGTCTAGGCTGGGCCATCCAGCTCAGGGCAGAGACAACGAGGGGTGGTTTACTGACTATTGCCTCTGCGTAGCAACCCTGGAATTCCTTGGTGGTCCCCCATCCAAATACTAACCAGGACCGACCCTGCTTAGCTTCCGAGATCTGATGAGGTCTGTCTAGGCTGGGCCATCCAGCTCAGGGCAGAGACAATGAGGGGTGGTTTCCTGTTGATTGCCTCTGCGTAGCAACCCTGGACTTCCTTGGTGGTTCCCCCATCCAAGTACTGACCAGTTCCGTCCCTGCTTAGCTTCTGAAAGCCTGGGCCGTCCAGGTCAGAGAAACAGATGTTCAGAGATGGTTTTCATTGCCTGCCTCTGCGTAGTGACCCTTCACTTCCTTGGTGGTCTCCCATCCAAGTACTCACCAGGGCCAACCCTGCTCAGCGTCCGAGATCTGATGAGGTCAGGCTAGCCTGGCCCGTCCAGACCAGGGCAGAAGACGTTCAGACGTGGTTGGCTATTGCCTGCCTCTGTGTAGTGACCCTTCACTTCCTCGGTGGTCTCCCATTCAAGTTCTAACCAGGGCTGACCCTGCTTAGCTTCCAAGATCTGACGAGATCGAGCTAGCCTGGGCCATCCAGGTCAGGGCAAGAGATGTACAGAGGTGGTTAGCCATTGCCTTCCTCTGCGTAGCAACCCTTCACTTCCTTGGCGGTCTCCCACCCAAGCACTTACTCATGGCCGTCCCTGTGTAGCTCCTGAGATCTAATGACTTCGGGCTACGTAACATGCAGCTAGCCCTTAATACTTAGAATTATAGTGGTCCATTCTGAGTATTCCAAGTCACATCCATCACTTACAGTGAGTTAACAAAATACTGACTGTAGTTCATATTTCATGTTTTATCCCAAACACGAGTTTGACGTTTGTGGGAACAATTCCAGAGCACCTCAAACAACTGAGTCTTCTAGAGAGAAACGCACCCCCCCTGACTTTGGGGGGATGGGCTGTGGCTCAGTGGCAGAGCCTCTCCTTGGCATGCAGAAGGTCCCAGGTTCTATCCCCGGCCTCTTCAGTTGAAAAGGGCCAGGCAGGAGGTGATGAGAAAGACCTCCGCCTGAGACCCTGGCTCAGTGGCAGAGCCTCTCCTTGGCATGCAGAAGGTCCCAGGTTCTATCCCCGGCCTCTTCAGTTGAAAAGGGCCAGGCAGGAGGTGATGAGAAAGACCTCCGCCTGAGACCCTGGCTCAGTGGCAGAGCCTCTCCTTGGCATGCAGAAGGTCCCAGGTTCTATCCCCGGCCTCTTCAGTTGAAAAGGGCCAGGCAGGAGGTGATGAGAAAGACCTCCGCCTGAGACCCTGGCTCAGTGGCAGAGCCTCTCCTTGGCATGCAGAAGGTCCCAGGTTCTATCCCCGGCCTCTTCAGTTGAAAAGGGCCAGGCAGGAGGTGATGAGAAAGACCTCCGCCTGAGACCCTGGCTCAGTGGCAGAGCCTCTCCTTGGCATGCAGAAGGTCCCAGGTTCTATCCCCGGCCTCTTCAGTTGAAAAGGGCCAGGCAGGAGGTGATGTTCAAGACCTCTGCTGGAGACCTCGGGGAACTGCTGCCCAAGTGAGTAGACAATACTTTGATGGACCGAGGGCCTGATTCAGTCTAAGGCAGTTTCATGTGTTATGATCCTTCTCTCTCCCCTCCTCACAGTTCCCTGTCCTACATCAAGATCTTCAACGTCGGCAGTCGCTACCTAGTGAACCGGGTTCAGGATCACGTGCAGAGCCGCACCGTCTATTACTTGATGAACATCCACGTGACGCCGCGCTCCATCTACCTCAGCCGCCACGGGGAGAGTGAACTCAACCTGAAGGGGTGCATCGGGGGTGACTCTGGACTGTCTGAGCGTGGCAAACAGGTGAGGGTCAACGGGGCAGAGGAAACCGCAAGCTTAACGGCCAGCGAGTCCGGCCCTCTGGGCAAAGCAAGGTCCCACCGGCCTGACCAAGACCCCAATCTGATCCTGAAGAATATACATAACCAGGGGTCATTTCGTAGAAAAAGAGGTGCAGGAGCTCATTAGCATAACTCATTAGCATAACTTATTTGCATACGCCACACCCCCTGACATCACTGGATATGTGTCAGAAGGCAGCACCCACCGCTCAGGCTCCACTAGACTGTTTTGGATTGCTAGATATTGGGGGGGGGGGGAAACCTGCAGATTCTGTCCTCGCAGAAGAGGGAGAGCTTGGACCTGAATAAAACTTGGTCCTAAAGGTGCCACTGGACTGTTTTGGGGCTCTGCAGCTTACCTGGCTGCTTCTTGCTCTTACTGAGGGCTGCTGGGAACAGGGATGGGGCTTGTTGCATGTGCCCGGCCCCCTGGGCTCTTTACTGCCGGAGCTCCGCTCCTGTGCGCTCCTGCAGGAAATGACCCCTGTACATAACTGCCTCACTTTAAAGATAGATTCATTGTGGGTAGCCGTGTTGGTCTGAAGCAACAGAACAAAGTTTGCGTCCAGTGGCACCCTTGAGACCAACGAGGTTTTATTCAAGGTGTGAGCTCTCGTGTGTGTGCAAGCTTTTTTAGGTAGATCCAGGTGGGTAGTAGCCGTGTTGGTCTGAAGCAGCGGAACAAAGTTTGAGTCCGGCGGCACCTTTAAGACCAACAAAGGCCTCTTACGCACACCCATCTCACTGCAGATTTTCAGAGCGGTAAGCCTTCAATCTTGACTTCGGATTCTGTGCCCGCCTTATGCACTGTTCTTTCTCCTCTGGTGTGTCTTATTCTGCAGCTACAATGAAAAAAACATACTTTTCTAAATCGGGGTGGGACGTCACTTGTGACGTGTGTGTGTGGGGGGAGGTGGCCCACATCCTCCTCCTCCTCCATTTTATCCTCACAGCAACCCTGGGAGGTAGGTGTGGCTAAGAGCGTATGACCGGCCCGAGGTCACTCTGTGAACTTCCATGGCAGAGTGGGGATTCAAACCTGGGTCTCTCAGGTCCTAGCCCAATACTCTAACTGTTAGACTACACTGGCTCTCTAGTCCAGGCTCCACGCAGCGCCACTTTCCTTTGATCTTTTAGATCGGGGCTGTCAAACATAAGGCCCGGGGGCCGGAACTGGCCCATCCAGGCAGGACTCTTATGTGGCCCCGCAAGTAACTGATGCAAGGGAGAGAGTGTTGGAGGCAGGGCTTTTTTGGTAGAAAAAGCCCAGCAGGAACTCATTAGCATAATAGGCCACACCCCAGACCAATGCTCCCTCTAAGCTGTGGAGTCTTCTGAGCAAAAATTCTGCTTTGTGAGCTCCTGGCATTAAAGGTGTGAGCGAGCGATTTGGGTACTGCATAAATTAGTTTGCTCTGGAGCCACATCCTTCCTGAGCCAAGACAAAAATCTGTGAGCCGGAGACTAAAAAGCCGTGAGCTAGCTCACACTAACTCAGCTTAGAGGGAACACTGCCCCAGACAGCACAACTCATTAGCATATTAGGCCACACCCCCTGTTACCAGAAGTGTGGTCATCCAGCCACACCCATCTTTTGCTTCTTATTCTATTTACGTTGTTTGTTGTCAAAACCCAGGGCTTTTTTTGGAGCAGGAACTCCTTTGCATGTTAGGCCACACACCCGTAATGTAGCCAGTCCTAATGAGTCTCTGCTGCTGGGTGTGGCCTATTATGCTAATGAGTTCCTGCCGGGCGTGGCCAACTTGGGAGCCAGCCGGAACTCCATTCCTGTGCGTTCCTGCCCAAAATAGCCCTGGTTGGAGGGGAGTGGGCGGAGTAACTCCATTAGGGCTTCAGCATGGCAGAACAGCCTCGTCTGCAGCAATCAAGCATCGTGGGAGAGCATCTGCCCAGCACTGCACTGCTGGCTCTCCAGCCCTCCCACATGGGTTTTCCTCTGCACCTCCCTCCCTTCCTCTGCACCCCATGGGCTCATGGGGCCTTGCAGTGAGGATGCACCAGCTCAGAGCTTACCAGCTGCTGTCCTTTATACAGTTTCTGTCTCCGATACCTGGAGTTACGTTTTATGGTACGCATGGCCCGGCCCAACTAAGTGACATTTATGTCCAATGCTCCCTCTAAGCTGTGGAGACTTGGGAGCAAAAATTCTACTTTGTGAGCTACTGGCATTAAAGCTGTGGGCGAGCGATTTGGCTCCTGCATCAATTGGTTTGCTCTGAAGCCCTCCTTCCTGAGCTGAGACAAAAATGTGTGAGCCGGAGGCTAAAAAACGGTGAGCTAGCTCACACTGACTCAGCTTAGAGGGAACACTGTTTATGTCAGATCCGGCCCTCGTAGCAAATGAGTTTGAGGCCTCTGTTTTAGATGTTTCCCCCAAAGATGGCATTTGTCAGCATTCATTTCAACATGCAGCTGAGAATGATTCCCCCCCCCCCTTTTTGCCTTGTTCTATAACCCATTTTTTGCAACCAACTCGGATGCAACACGATAAGGTTCCGGAATCTCTCGCTCACATTAAACCTTTATTCCTCTTCTCTCCCCCTACCCCTTTCTCTCTGCCTGCCAGTACGCCCACGCCTTGGCCTCCTTTATCCGTTCCCAGTGCATCCACGACCTCAAAGTGTGGACGAGCCACATGAAGCGCACGATTCAGACGGCGGAAGCGTTGCATGTCCCCTACGAGCAGTGGAAGGCGCTGAACGAGATCGACGCAGTGAGAACCGCTCATCCGACTATTCTAACCCCATATGCGTCCCCCCTCAGTGAGAGACAAAACTCGAGGTCCTGTTCTCTCATGCCTCCGGGCAGACTATACAACTCTCTTCCTGTAGCCTTTGTTCTCTATAACCGGCAAGGAGTGTGGACGACCATCCTTTTCACCATTCCGTCTAACGCTGAGCCGACAGCGTCTTCTGGACAGTTTCAACGCACAGCCAAAGTAGAATCAATCACTTTTATTCAGGTTTTTTTTTTACATGCATTTTTAAGAGGTCTTTACTCACAACATCTTTGTGATTGAATTCCTTTCACTGGCTCATGCGGTGAAAAGGATGGCCGTCCACACTCCTTGCCGGTTATAGAGAACAAAGGCTACAGGAAGAGAGTTGTAATTCGAACCCTCCCGCGCCTCTGTGTGCCGGATGCGGTGGGGTGTCTAACTAAAGACTTCGATTCCCAGGAACCACTGCTCTTAAAGCTATCTGGCAGTTCTGCTTAACTACAGTCTCAAACGCTGGCTGGAACAGCACACAGACCTTAAACCACTCTCTTAACATCCTAACCTTCGGGCGGAGTTAATGTAGGTCTTTCTTAAACATTACACAATCCACATGTTTTCTGTTAACTTTTGTCTCTTCTTTTTGGCCCTGTGAGTTGAGGGAAGAGAGGAGTCACGTTATATCCGTACAAAGTGGCTTACAAGTTCACGAGAGGGAGGGCAGGGAGGGTTGCCTCAGCGCTTAGTTCTTGTGGCCCTTTCTGACACGCCCAGGGAAATGCTGATCGCCACTTTGGGAGTCAGGAATCAATCCTGGAGGGTTTTTTTGTCATCTTCTGGGCATGGAACAGCACTCACTGCGGGTGTGGAAGGGGAGGTATTTGTGAATTTCCTACACTGTGCAGGGGGTTGGACTAGATGGCCCTGGAGGTCCCTTCCAACTCTATGATTCTAAGATAGGGCTACCAAGCCACCAGTGGGCACAGGGGATTCTACACCCCAGTTCCCATTTCCCACTCCCTGATTGGTGGCAGGAGAATAAACAAAAAAAAATGGCCATTGGGCTGATGATGACATCACTTCTGGGGAACCCCCCACAGAAGTTATGTCAATCCTCTCTAGAAATTGCCAGAATTTCTATGGATTTTCCATAGATTTCCCCCCCAGCAATTCCCACAGAGGACCGATGTGACTTCTGGGTTTTACCCCGATCTGATGTCATGATGCTGCTGACATCAGCCCTCCATGTCTCCACTAGTTGCCAGGCCATGTAACCCTATGACAAGAGCAGGGAGGCTATTCTCCTCCCATTGATACAGAATAATATTTTTGTTGCAGCTTTTCAGCAGCAAATGTCAAGATATAGAGATCACATACAGATACTTTAAACTTTTTAATACGCTGTTCTTTTACAGAGTGTGATGTTTCGAGTCCTATAAGTAAGACCTCTGGCAGGCAGGTTGACCCCCCACAGCAATAAGTCCCTTGAATGTCTCTAATTACCATAAATACCACTGGTAATTGAGGGGGTAGTTAAAATGGCTATCATCCATCAACTGGCTATCATTCATTTGCGTGCAAACAACAGTTGGTTATGTTTCATCACACATTATTCATTTCTTAAAAACACAAAGCCAGACGTACCCCCAGGAGCAGTCACAAAGTGTAAGGAAGATGTCAGGGTTGTGCAGGGGTCATTTCCTGCAGGAGCGCACAGGAGCGGAGCTCCGGCAGTAAAGAGCCCAGGGGGCGGGCACACGCAAGAAGCCCCACCCCCTGCTCCCAGCAGCCATCAGTCAGAGCAAGAAGCAGCCAGGTAAGTTGCAGAGCCCCGGCCCCTCGGTTCAAAACAGTCCAGTGGCACCTTTAAGACAAAGTTTTATTCAGGTACAAGCTCTCCCTCCTCTGTGAGGACAGATCTGCACGTCCCCTCCCCCATAGCTAGCAATCCAAAACAGTCCCGTGGAGCCTGAGCGGTGGGTGTTGCCTTCTGACACACTTCCAGTGATGTCAGGGGGTGTAGCATATGCAAATACGTTATGCTAATAAGTGATGCTAATGAGCCCCTGCACCTCTTTTTCTACGAAATGACCCCTGGGGTTGTGTAACATGTAATGAGAATGGACACACCCCCTACTGAAGAAACTTGCGGCAGAATCAGCCATCCTAACCCCTCATGTGTATTCCTTCCCTGCATCCACTCGGCCTTCACTTTAACATGGCCCAGAGGTCTCCAACTTCCCATCTCTCCCCTATTAAAGGGTGTCTGCGAAGAAATGACCTACGAAGAGATCCAAGCCAGTTTCCCAGAAGAATTCGCCCTGAGAGACCAAGACAAGTATCGATACCGCTATCCTAAGGGGGAGGTAAGACCCGAGGCATTTGTTTAGCATGCCGCAAGCCAACGGGATTGAACTGTGGAACCTCCCGCCACGGGGAGATGCAGTCACTGAGCTGGTTGGGAAGGGACCGTGGGAGGCCTGTGAGAACGGAACGGGATGCGGTTTTCAAAGGAAAAGAGTTAGGATGGAAGCCTGGCCCCTTCCGACTCTGTCTCTCACTCCATCCACACAGTCGTACGAGGATTTGGTGCAGCGCTTGGAACCTGTCATCATGGAGTTGGAACGACAAGAGAACGTCCTGGTCATCTGCCACCAAGCTGTCATGCGCTGCCTCCTCGCCTACTTCCTAGACAAAAGTGCAGGTAGCATGCTCTCGTCCTCTGCATTCAGACTGGCAAAACCCTCTCACACCCTTTATCCTTCTAATTTCTGTCCATGTTGGGTATGCACGGACTCTAATCTGGGAGAACCGGGTTTGATTCCCCACTCCTCCACATGTGGTTGCTGGGTGGCCTTGGGTCAGTCACAAGTTCTCTCAGAGCTGTTCTCTCAAGGGCAGTCCTCAAAAGAGCTCTCTCAACCCCACCTACCTCACAGGGTGTCTGTTGTGGGGAGGGGAAGGGAAAGGAGATTTTAAGCCGCTTTGAGACTCCAAGTGAAGGGCTGGGTATAAATCCAATCTCATCTTCCTCCTCCTCCTCCTCCTCCTCCTCCTCCTCCTCCTGCATTTAGAAAGTGGGAAACTAGTACCCAACTGACGCAGGGAGCAAGATGTTCTCCCACAAATACTGTTTCTTCCCCTGTACTATCCCCAGGAAAAAAGGGCTGGGTAAGGAAACCGTAATCTGTTCTTCCTGTCCACCACCACTGTAAGGGGACTGAAAGAGTGATGGCCACAGGAAAAAAACAGCATTAAAAGGGGATTAGATAGATTCACTGAGGATAAGCCTATCAATGGCTACTAGCCGTGGTGACTGAGGGGAGCCTCCACATTCAGAGGCACTAAGCCTCTGAATCCTATAGTTAGGAGGCATCAGTGGAAGGCCTTAGACTCTCTGCCCTGTTGTTAGCCCTACAGGGGAACTGGTTGGCCACTGTGCGAGACAAGATGCTGGACCGCACCATTCTGCTATGGTCAGGCCTCACCTGGAGTCCTGTGTCCAGTTTTGGGCACCACATTTTAGGAAGGATGTTGACAAGCTCACGCGTGTCCAGAAGAGGGCAACCAGGATGGTGGGAGGGTTGGAATCCAAGTCTTATGAGGAAAGGCTGAAGGAGTTGGGTCTCTTTAGCCTGGGAAAGAGAAGGCTTAGAGGGGACATGATTGCAGTCTTCAAGTATTTGAAGATGGAGCGGATCTATTCTCTTTTGCTCCGGATTGCAAGACTAGATCTGATGGGTGGAACTTACAAGGGAGTCGTTACCGGCTAAATATCAGGAGAAATGTCCTAGGTGGTGGATGCTCCTTCGCTGGACGTTTTCAAGTGGAGGCTGGACAGCCATCTTTTGGGGATGTTGTAGGGCTATCTTTCGGCTATGCTCCTGCAGAGTGCAGGGGGTTGGACTAGATGTCCTGGAAGATCCCTTCCAACTCTAACGTTCTATGATTCTATGACCAGTGGTCCGATCCAGCAGGGCTCTCTTGATGCTCTTAAAGGGGGCCAGGGGCCTGGATCCCTACCCTGGCGCTCCCTTCCCTAATTGATTGTTCTCTCTCCATCCAGAGGAGCTGCCGTACCTGAAGTGCCCACTACACACTGTGTTGAAGTTAACGCCTGTGGCCTACGGTAAGTGGTTCCATCCGTGGTTGCAACTCAGCACCTTTTCGCCAGAGGAAGGGCTCGCCGTGGGTTTCAGGAAATCCAGTCATCTGCTTCCCGCTGTCAAGCGGCAAGCACGAAACCGAGGCCCAACTCCATTTCTTTTGGCCGCCAAGTCATAGCGGTTACCGCGATCCGAGTCAACGCGACGAAATGAGAGGTGCCGCTTCTAAAGGCATGATTTCAACACGACACCGCCGAGGCAAGACCATTTGCAATGTGCCACGCTGCAGCCAGACCGCATCTCATTTCATCTTGGCTGCTGCAAGGTTGCTTAGCACATCAGCACAACCACACCTGTCTGAGCGGACGCTCTCGGTGGCTGCAAACGAGCCCCGGCCTGAGCGCAGAAAGCTGTGTGGGCGAGGTTTTGTCAACATCGTGTTCTAATCAGGCCTCTAGAAGGAGGGGAGACGGGTCTGTAGCCGCTCAAGTCAGAGTGTCAACAAAAACTATATAAAGCAGAATTACACAGTGGAGGGAACCAAAACGACAAGGAACTGTGTAATAAAAACCACCACACAACATGAACAAATCTATAACCAGTGTTCCCTCTAAGCTGAGTTAGTGTGAGCTGGCTCACAGTTTTTTTTAGCCTCTGGCTCACACATTTTTGTCTTAGCTCAGGAAGGATGGCTCCCAAGCAAGATAATTGATGCAGGAGCCAAATTGCTCGCTCACCGCTTTAATGCCAGTAGCTCACAAATTGGAATTTTTGCCCACAGGACTCCATAGCTTAGAGGGAGCATTGTATAGAACATCTATTAAGAAACAAAAACCTCCATAATCATTGAAATACATAGACAAAGGAAAACCCTCTTCATGTATATTACTGAACCATGCCGTAAATACTCATTGACGTTCTAACATAGATACGTAAGCCTATCAATGGCTACTAGCCGTGGTGACTGAGGGGAGCCTCCACATTCAGAGGCACTAAGCCTCTGAATCCTATAGTTAGGAGGCATCAGTGGAAGGCCTTAGACTCTCTGCCCTGTTGTTAGCCCTACAGGGGAACTGGTTGGCCACTGTGCGAGACAAGATGCTGGACCGCACCATTCTGCTATGGTCAGGCCTCACCTGGAGTCCTGTGTCCAGTTTTGGGCACCACATTTTAGGAAGGATGTTGACAAGCTCACGCGTGTCCAGAAGAGGGCAACCAGGATGGTGGGAGGGTTGGAATCCAAGTCTTATGAGGAAAGGCTGAAGGAGTTGGGTCTCTTTAGCCTGGGAAAGAGAAGGCTTAGAGGGGACATGATTGCAGTCTTCAAGTATTTGAAGATGGAGCGGATCTATTCTCTTTTGCTCCGGATTGCAAGACTAGATCTGATGGGTGGAACTTACAAGGGAGTCGTTACCGGCTAAATATCAGGAGAAATGTCCTAGGTGGTGGATGCTCCTTCGCTGGACGTTTTCAAGTGGAGGCTGGACAGCCATCTTTTGGGGATGTTGTAGGGCTATCTTTCGGCTATGCTCCTGCAGAGTGCAGGGGGTTGGACTAGATGTCCTGGAAGATCCCTTCCAACTCTAACGTTCTATGATTCTATGACCAGTGGTCCGATCCAGCAGGGCTCTCTTGATGCTCTTAAAGGGGGCCAGGGGCCTGGATCCCTACCCTGGCGCTCCCTTCCCTAATTGATTGTTCTCTCTCCATCCAGAGGAGCTGCCGTACCTGAAGTGCCCACTACACACTGTGTTGAAGTTAACGCCTGTGGCCTACGGTAAGTGGTTCCATCCGTGGTTGCAACTCAGCACCTTTTCGCCAGAGGAAGGGCTCGCCGTGGGTTTCAGGAAATCCAGTCATCTGCTTCCCGCTGTCAAGCGGCAAGCACGAAACCGAGGCCCAACTCCATTTCTTTTGGCCGCCAAGTCATAGCGGTTACCGCGATCCGAGTCAACGCGACGAAATGAGAGGTGCCGCTTCTAAAGGCATGATTTCAACACGACACCGCCGAGGCAAGACCATTTGCAATGTGCCACGCTGCAGCCAGACCGCATCTCATTTCATCTTGGCTGCTGCAAGGTTGCTTAGCACATCAGCACAACCACACCTGTCTGAGCGGACGCTCTCGGTGGCTGCAAACGAGCCCCGGCCTGAGCGCAGAAAGCTGTGTGGGCGAGGTTTTGTCAACATCGTGTTCTAATCAGGCCTCTAGAAGGAGGGGAGACGGGTCTGTAGCCGCTCAAGTCAGAGTGTCAACAAAAACTATATAAAGCAGAATTACACAGTGGAGGGAACCAAAACGACAAGGAACTGTGTAATAAAAACCACCACACAACATGAACAAATCTATAACCAGTGTTCCCTCTAAGCTGAGTTAGTGTGAGCTGGCTCACAGTTTTTTTTAGCCTCTGGCTCACACATTTTTGTCTTAGCTCAGGAAGGATGGCTCCCAAGCAAGATAATTGATGCAGGAGCCAAATTGCTCGCTCACCGCTTTAATGCCAGTAGCTCACAAATTGGAATTTTTGCCCACAGGACTCCATAGCTTAGAGGGAGCATTGTATAGAACATCTATTAAGAAACAAAAACCTCCATAATCATTGAAATACATAGACAAAGGAAAACCCTCTTCATGTATATTACTGAACCATGCCGTAAATACTCATTGACGTTCTAACATAGATACGTCCAAGAATCAATGTAAACAGTCACAGGATCCTTCCTCAAACTGAAGGTATCTCAAGACTAAGCAGACTCATTCGCAGTGTAAATATTCATGCCGTATAATCTCGCCAAACCAAAAGAGAACCCTGGTTGGTTAGAGACTCTTTGGATTGTAGGTAAACTTTTTGCAATGTTTGATAAATTTATGAAAGTACGTTGCACCCGATTTTACTGGTTATATTGTTGTGTGGATTCTGTTCTAATGTTACAGGAGAAAATACTGACTTTTGATAAAGCGTTTGTGGAACGCGGAAATCCGGAAGCTGGCGAACGCACGAAGTTGCAATCGCAAGTTGCAAGTCATCTTCAGTTTTCTCTTATTGTCAGGATCCACAGCCAAACAAAGAAGTACACGCTTGTCATAAGGTTATACTATAATGTAAGAGCTATAGAGGCAGTAACATCAGTACTGTTATATAGGGTATTCGTACGCACACACACACACCCTCCTAGGCCAATCGGCCTGACTCCCACGTGCGGGAAAATGGGGCCCCAGGCCGTTACAGCTAAAGCTGGGAATCGAAACCTATCCCACGGATAATACATGGGGAGACGCTAGACAGCGAGCTAGCAAGGTCATAGATAAAAGGACAAAGGAATGCGGCATCAGTTGGTACACAGGTCAAGCAGCTGCACTCTCACCCATAAACATCATGGCAGCATAGCTGACGCTTATTGCTGAATGTCATCGAACCGGGGTTCTCTTTTGGTCTGGCAAGATTATCAAGATGTATCTATGTTAGAACATTAATGAGTATTTACAGCATGGTTCAGTAATATACATAAAGAGCAGTTTCCTTTGTCTATGTATTTCATTGATAATGGAGATTTTTGTATCTTAATAAATACAATATAGCGGTGGCACAGAGGATTTATCCTCTGGTTACAGTAACATCTGAACTGAACAGAACTGCTGTCAGTTCTATCCCCGTGCTGGTGTGAGCTACCAGCCTTGTCCCCAGCTCGCCGTCCACCCAGCGGTTCGAAAGCTTCGGCGAGTAGATAAAATGGGTACCACTCCTTAGAGAGGGTGGGCACACTAAACCCCCCCGGTGGGGGGAGGTGTTAGCCGGCGAAACGGAATGTCCAGCTCGGAAGCCTGGAAAGATCTCCTTGGCATCAAGAAGCCTGCGATGGGCCAATCCGGCCAGGCGGTGGCAGTGCGACGCTGCGACTCGAAGCAGTCCTGGAAAAACTGACGTCATCAAGCTAAGCCAAGTGAATGCCATCTGGAACACGTCTAAGTCTACGGCTGAACAAAAAACCCCATCGGCTGCAAACGTGTGCGACTTAAAAAAAGATTTATATGTTGTCGTCCCTTACCTCCTATGGATCATTGTTAGTCCCTTGTTAATATGTGTAACTGTAAATTGCTCAGAGCCAGCAGTCTGCAGGATTGAGCGATTAATAAATCGAAAGATATTATTATTATTCTCTTCTGATCGGCCACTGGAGATTCAGTTGGCAATGCAGATTCTTAAAAACGTCGCTTTGGTGGCAGCTGCAACCACAGCACAAGGCTCTCCATTGCGTGACTGAGGGTGAGCCGCGGCAGCCATTTTGTGGCTGGCTACACCTCCTGGGCAGCCATTTTGTGTATGCTCCCACCATGCTGTGTCATAATTCCAAAGGTTGGGGAACTCCTGTGACAGAGCCACCTGTGAACCGTTGTTTGGTATTCCTGTTTCAAGCACGCCCAGTTAAGACTGGAATTCTTCTTTTATGGACAGGCTGTGATGTGGAGTCGATTTTCCTCAACATCGAGGCTGTGAACACACACCGGGAACGCCCGCAGGTAAGAACATTTCCGACGACAGCAAAAAGCGCTCCCTGACGGGGATCCGACGGGATCCTCTGGAGAGGGACAACCGAAGGACTTGTTGTCTGTGCCTGGAGAGCTTTCGGATAGCCCGGCTTTGCTACGAAGCGGGCCGCCTCCGAGAGATACTCGTGGGCACAAACGGCTGTCTTTCTCCCGAACCCCCCTCTAACCCCGCCTGTTGGGGCCCCCCAACGTTCGCCCTGTTCAAACTCACGTGCCTCTCCCCCTCTGTAATATTTTCCTCTTATCTCCCCCCCCCCCCCCCCCCAGCATCTTTCCTACAATGCTAGCCAGGTCCCCCCGTACCGGCACTACCGCTCCGTGCCAATGGCCAGCCCCGAGCCAACCAAACGACCCTGCTGGAAAGATCTGGGCCGGTCCCCTCCCCCCCGCCTGTTTGACCCTCAGGTAAAGAATCCCCCACCCTCACCTGATCTTTCTTTCTTTGATTTTATATCCCGCTCTCCCCCACTATCACGGGGCTCAGAGCGGGTCACAACCAATGTTCCCTCTAAGCTGTGGAGTCTTGTGAGCAAAAACTCTACTTTGTGAGCTGCTGCCATTAAAGTTGAGAGTGAGAGATTTGGCTGCTGCATAAACTAGTTTGTTCTGGAGCCATCCTCCCTGAGCGAAGACAAAAATGTGTGAGCTGGAGGCTAAAAAACTGTGAGCCTAGCTCACACTAACTCAGCTTAGAGGGAACACTGGTCACAACTCATAATGAACGGATTATGATGAATAGATAAAACTATAACGAATAGTTAAAACTATTCGGGCGGCACATAATAACGTTAGAACACTGTCTGAAGGGGAAAGGAGGGCAGAGATCTGCATAGATGGGAGTTCTTCTGACCTCACCCATATGCTTGGCGATACATTTCCATTTTACAGGCCCTGCAGAATTGTACCAAATCCCGCAGGGCCTGGATCTTGGTTGGAAGCAGATTCCACCAAGCTGGAGTCACCACCAAAAAGGCTCTAGCTCTAGTTGAAGCGAGGTGGATATTCCTTGGCCTTGTCAGTGTGTTGTTGTTTGAAGAGCGTAATGCCAGTCTGAGAGCGAGAGCCAGTTTGGTGTAGTGGTTAAGTGCGCGGACTCTAATCTGGGGGAACCGGTTCGACTCCCGACTCCTCCACATGCAGCTGCTGGTGTGACCTTGAGTCAGTTACAAGTTCTCTCAGAGCTGTTCTCTCATGAGCAGTCGAGAGAGCTCTCTCAGCCCCACCCTCACAGGGTGTCTGTTGTGGGGAGGGGAAAGGAAATTGTAAGCTGCTCTGAGACTCCAAGTGAAGGGCAGGGTATAAATTCAATTTCTTCTGCTTTTTTGGGGGGGGCGCGCTCCCAGGAGAGGCACCCCCCAAAATATGTTGGTCCCAGACCATGAAGGGTTTTAAATCTAACCCTCTCCTGCAGATCTTAATCATCTTGTCTCGCGGTGGATATTAACTAGGTTAGCGATGGGGGGGGGGTTACAGTCCGGGTGATGCTTCTAGGCCTTCACTGGCTGGGGTATCTCTTTCTGCTTGTGATGGGTTCAAAGCCAGAGACTCCCCATTCACAAGCAATGACTAAACGGGGATGGGAAGGAGCAGAGAGAGGGAAGGATCTGCCGATGGTCACGCAGCAGGTCCATGTTCGAGCGAGGGACAGAGCCATATTCGAGCGAGCAACAGAGCCATATTCGAGCGAGGGACAGAGCCCAACTTGGTGCCAGGGTCAAGGAGTCCAGCCCAGACATTCCAGCTGTAATGCTAATTTGCCCAGCCATCTAACTGCTAGTGATGGGACTCAGCTCCACGGTAACCATTCTTTACTAAGCCTTCTAACGAGCTACCCTAAACCTTGTCCTCTCTCTCTCACTGCAGAATGTTGACGTCACACGAGATCCCGAGGAAGCCCTGGACACGGTGCCAGATCATTACTGATCGCCTCGGGCGTTCAAAGAATCCGTTTCTGCTCTACCATGGAGTTCACATTGGTGGCATGGGTGCATGGCACAACCTGGAGAAATAAGGGTGGGGGCGGGGAAGGTGCTGAACCAACTTGCTTACGTCGTCTCACGAAGCTTGCCTTTGTACCTACGAATGGCCTTCTCGGAAAGGAAACTGTAGTGTAGGTCAGTGCTCCTATACAATGTGGATCCGTGGGCCCCTGGGCTGCGCTGCCCACCGACAAAGGAGGAGACTTTGAAATAAATGTGTCAAAAGGTGGTGGTGGAGGGGGACACCCAGGAAAAGTGAAGCACTATCATCTGATCTGGAGAGACGGAGGTGTATTTTTAACTCTCAATGAAGTCAGTGCACTGTCAAGAGTCTTAATTTTTTAATTGCTTTTAATGGAGAGACGTTTCCCGTATTACGTGGCACCCATGTTGCAGTGGCAGGTAAATACAGAAGAGTTCCATATTTGAACAACGTCTCTTGAACCATATTTCCGTTACCTCTAATAAACAATCAAACCAGCAAGAGAGAAGCGTAATTAACTCTGCCGCTAGGGTCACACGGCTTTACTGAAAAAGCACGTTTCGGTGCTGGGCAAACGATTCCAGTTTGTTGTGGAAGTTTCCCTCTGCCAGGGGAAATCTGACACATGAACCGCTTTATACGAAACCCATCTCCTATACAGCGAAAGCCAAGGGCCATCTCTCAGCATCATTCAAGTAAAACTGCGGGTGACCGAAGACGGGGTTTCCCTTCGGAATTTGGACGGCTCCTTCTACCATCCAACGCCTGAACGGCTAGTGTCTTCCAGCAGCGTTAGCCTCTGTTTCAGCTTCATTGTACTGGCTTGTCCAAAATGTGGGGTCCTTGCTTTGTATCTGATGAGGAAAACAGGGAAGACCAGTTAGAAAAACACTGGGGCAGAAAGCTAAACGAGATAATTTGATTCCTGCTCTGAAGCCATCTTCTGTTATTTTATTTTTATTTATAGCCTGCTCTCCCGAAGCCGGCTCAGAGCGGGTAACACCAAACCGTAAAATGCAATTAAAAAACCCCCTCTAAAACAGCATACCATTACAGTACATACAATAAATGGAGTAAAATACCATGTTAATACAACAATTCTATAAAATTCCAGATGGCATATGGAGGGACAATGTTCAGACAACTGCAAAGTTGAGCCAGTTTGGTGTAGTGGTTAAGTGTGCGGACTCTAATCTGGGAGAACCGGGTTTGACTCCCCACTCCTCCACTTGCAGCTGCTGGATGACCTTGGGCAAGCCATAGTTCTGACAAGAGCTGTCCTTGAAAAGAGCAGTTTCTGTCAGAGCTCTCTCAGCCCCACCTACCTCCCAGGGTGTCTGTTGTGGGGAGGGGGAGGGAAAGGAGTTTGTAAGCTGCTCTGAGACTCCAAGTGAAGGGCGGGGAAAAATCCAATCTCTTCTTCTTCAAAGGGGAATGGGGGGGGGCGACAAGAGGAGGGGGGAAGGAAGAAGAGGGGGAGGCCAAACATGACCAGCTAGGACCCCTGTACAGCCCTCAGTCATAGGCCCAGTGGAATAACTCTGTTTTGCAGGCCCTGCGGAATTGTACTAAATCCCGCAGGGCCCTGATCTCTCCGGGAAGAGTGTTCCTCCAGGGCAGTGCCAAAAAAACCCTGGCCCTAGTCGAGGACTGACGGACGCTCTCTGGGACGGGGGCCACCAACTGATTTTGATTACTTGAGTGTAACACTCTATGGGGGATGTACCATGACAGGCAGTCCCGAAGGCACCCTGGTCCCTGACTGTTAAGGGATTTAAAAGTCCTTAACTTTTAAAATTAAATTTCTAGCCCCCACGGTCGCAGAGAAAAACCAGAATGCCTTCTGTTTCAAATATTTCTAAGGAAAAAATATTTCTGAGGGGGCCACATACGGAAGGTCTTCTAGCTCAGAAGCCTGATGGCACTCCATGAAATTGCTGAGCGGTCGGGTTAGAAGAACGGATAAAAGGAAGTCCTTCTTCACCCAAAGAGTGATTAACACATGGAATTCACTGCCACAGGAAGTGGTGGCGGCCACAAGCATGGACGGCTTCAAGAGGGAATTAGATAAGCATATGGAGCAGAGGTCCATTAGCGGCTATTAGCCACAAGGTATAGATAGGGACTCTGGGGCAAGGGATGCTCTGTCTTCTTGGTGCTTTGGGGGGGGGGCAACAGCGGGAGGGCTTCTAGTGCCCTGGCCCCACTGGTGGACCTCCTGAGGGCACCTGGTATTTCTGGCCACTGTGTGACAGAGTGTTGGACTGGATGGGCCTTTGGCCTGATCCAACATTGGCATCTCTTATGTTCTTATGGTGAAGTAGGGCCCTGTTCGGTACACAGCGGCCTTTCCGTTTTGCCCTCATATCAGCCTCATGAGGGAGGTGAGGTTGAGGGGGGATAAGTGGCTCAATGTCATCTGGTACATTTCATGGCGAGTGGGGGTTTGAACCCAGGTTTTCCCGATCCCAGACCTACTGTGACTGGTTTTCATCCTCCACTGTCTTCACATTTCCCAACTTCCACTTATTTCCACCCTCCCAATTTCTTTTTAATCTTGGGAAAGTATCTTGACATAAGTTATGCTAAACGTGGAAATACGTACACAATCCATCCCAGAAGCTGAACTTCCTGATGTAATATTTGGTTTTTCCTGGGGACCAGCCAGTTTGGTATAGTGGTTAGAAGGGCAGACTCTAATCTGGGAGAACCGGGTTTGATTCCCCACTCCTCCCCATGCAGCTGCTGGTGTGACCTTGGGTCAGTCACAACTTTTCTCAGAGCTGTTCTCTCAAGGGCAGTCCTCGAAAGAGCTCTCTCAGACTCACCTACCTCACAGGGTGTCTGTTGTGGGGAGGGGAAGGGAAAGGAGTGTGTAAGCCGCTCTGAGACTCCTTTGCGTAGTGAAGGGCGGGGTATAAATCCAATCTCTTCTTCTTCTACTTTTACCTCACAGGGTGTCTGTTGTGCGGAGGGGAAGGGAAAGGAGTTTGTAAGCCGCTCTGAGACTCCTTTGGGTAGTGAAGGGCGGGGTATAAATCCAATCTCTTCTTCTACTTTTACCTCACAGGGTGTCCTGTTGTGGGGAGGGGAAGGGAAAGGAGATGGTAAGCCGCTCTGAGACTCCTTCAGGTAGTGAAGGATGGGGTATAAATCCAATCTCTTCTCTTCTTCTTCTAATCTGGGAGAACCAGGTTTGATTCCCCACTCCTCCCCATGCAGCTGCTGGTGTGACCTTGGGTCAGTCACAAGTTCCCTCAGAGCTGTTCTCTCAAGGCCAGTCCTCGAGAGAGCTCTCTCAGCCCCACCTACCTCACAGGACATCTGTGGTGGGGAGGGGAAGGGAAAGGAGATTTTAAGCCGCTCTGAGACTCCAAGTGAAGGGCTGGGTATAAATCCAATCTCTTCTTCTGCTGCTGTACCCAAATGGGATTTTTGGTACAGCCACATGGGAAGTTTTCATTGCTCAGAAATACTGTCTTGCTGGGATGGTGGGTGCATGGACAACCCCTAGTCCCTCCACCCGTGCTGTGCTTCATCCCCAGGCTCAGACCCTTCCCTCCATTTCCCTAAACAGCTCGTGTTTCACAGCAGCCGATTCGTACCTTTGCGACAAACTGTAGGATCTGCTTCTTGGACGTCTCCTTAGTGGCCCGCGGCCCCCACCTGAATTCAGACTCTGGGGGCTCCGTGTGGGGGAGACGATTGTACTCCAAGTACCTAGCAAATGGGGAACCATGCGATCAACACCCCAAGCCATCTCCCCCCCCCCCCATGGCAGCAGAAAGGGTAAGTGCCGGGTCATCGAGAACTCTGGCTGAACAGTTTCTGGGGCTCCCCCAAACCACCACCAGAACAGAAAGGACACATCTGCAGGCTTGGGGTATACTGCCCCACACCAACGCTCCCCCTAAGCTGTGGAGTCTTGTGAGCAAAAATTCTACTTTGTGAGCTCCTGGCATTAGAGTTGTGAGCAGACGATTTGGCTGCTGCATAAATTAGTTTGCTCTGGAGCCCTCCTTCCTGAGTGGAGACAAAGATGTGTGAGCCGGAGGCTAAAAAACGGTGAGCTCGCTCACACTACCTCAGCTTAGAGGGAGCACTGCCCCTACACTCCGTAGGGCGGTACCATCAGCCAATGGAAGCCTTTGATTCCCCGCCACTCACTTCTGCCGGACAAACTCCTCCGTCACAAGTTTCTTCACGTCACCAAAGACCTTGTGCTTTTCTCTGAAAGGAAGAAGGGGACAACACGCCTGTCAAGAGTAGATAACGTCAGATGAACACAGAGCGATCCATTTTCCCTGGCCCCCAATTCCATTCCACGTGCCCCGCTGAAGGGGTTGACTCTGCGGCTCCGGTCGGGTTGCCACCTCTGGGAGATTTGGGGGGGCGGAGCCTGAAGAAGGCAGGATTTGGGGAGGGGAGGGGCTTCAATGAGGTGTCATGCACTAGAGACCCCCTTCCAAAGCGGCCATTTTCTCCAGGTGAACCGGTCCCCGCCGCCTGGAAATCAGTTGTGACAGCGGGAGATCTCCAGCCCCCCCCCTGGAGGTTGGCAACCCCAGGCTCCCGGCTCCCCTGACACTTCCGCTCGTACCCGGGGTCGACTCGCAGCCTCCTCAGCACCTCCCAAACCGCAGCTGGAAGGAGAGAAAGCAAAAAAGGAGGGTTGGTGGTTGACTGAGGGGAGTGAGGAAACGGGCGGGGCGGGCGGGGGAAGGCGCGACACTCACACTCCTTGATCACGTTGCCCTTCATGAAGATCAGGCTGAGAATGACGGTGAGGAGGCCCATCTTGGGGGAGTCCTCGTCCCTGGAACGGAGAAAAATCTATTGGGTGCCTTATCCAAAAGTAGGAAGGGTAGAAGAAGAGTCGGTTTTTATACCCCACTTTTCTCTATCCCAAGGAGTCTCAAAGTGGCTGACAATTGCCTTCCCTTCCTCTCCCCACAACAGGCACCTCTCGTGAGGTAGGGGGGGCTGAGAGAGTTCGGAGAGAACTGTGACTGGCCCAAGGCCCCCCAGATGGAGCAGGTGAAGAAGAGTACGTTTTATACCCCACTTTTCTCTACCCTAAGGTGTCTCAAAGTGGCTTACAAACTCCTTTCCCTCTCCCCACAACAGGCACCTCTCGTGAGGTGGGGGGGGCAGAGAGAGTTCAGAGAGAACTGTGACTGGCCCAAGGTCACCCAGATGGAGCAGGTGAAGAAGAGTACGTTTTATACCCCACTTTACCCTAAGGTGTCTCAAAGTGGCTGACAATCCCCTTTCCCTTCCTCTCCCCACAACGGACACCTCGTGAGGCAGGTGGGGCTGAGAGAGTCCTGAGAGACCAGTGACTGGCCCAAAGTCACCCAGCAGGCCTCAAGTGTCTTACAATCTCCTTCCCTTCCTCTCCCCACAACAGGCAGCTTGTGAGGAAGCTGGGGCTGGGAGAGCCCTGAGAGAACTGGATGGCCCAAGGTCACCCAGCAGGCTTCACGTGGAGGAGGAGGAGGAGGTTTTCTACCACACTATTCTCTACCTTAAGGAGTCTTATAGAGTGGCTCACGATCGCCCTCCCTTCCTCTCCCCACAACAGGCACCTTGTGAGGCAGGTGGGGCTGAGACTCCAAGTGAAGGGCGGGGTGTAAATCCAATCGCCTCTTCTCTTCTTCTTCTGGATGACCTTGGGCAAGCCACAAGTTCTGTCAGAGCTGTTCTCTCAAGAGCAGTTTCTGTCAGAGCTCTCTCAGCCCCACCTCCCTCACAGGGTGTCCGTTGTGGGGAGGGGAAGGGGAAGGAGTTTGTGAGCCCCTCTGAGACACCTTTGGGTAGTGAAGGGCGGGGTATAAATCCAATCTCTTCTTCTTTTACCTCACAGGGTGCCTGTTGTGGGGAGGGGAAGGGAAAGGAGTTTGTGAGCCCCTCTGAGACTCCTTTGGGTAGTGAAGGGCGGGGTATAAATCCAATCTCGTCTTCTTTTACCTCACACGGGGTCTCAAAACAAGAAAGAAAGCAGGTTTGGGGAGGCGGCTGGAAGACGGGGGAAAGTCCAGGAGGCGCCTGAAAGCATCACAGTGCTGAGGTGGAAGAGGAGAAAAATGCATTCTCAACGGCATTCCATGGGAGCAGACAAGCTGCCCTTAAGTCATGTAGGGCTGCCGCGTAGGAAGACTGCTGCAGAGCTCCCCTCTAGTACAATCCCAGAACCCGGCAGCCACTGGACACCAGGAAGAAGAGAGGAGGAGAAGAAGGAGGAGGAGGAGGAGGAGAAGAAGAGGAGATTGGATTTATACCCCACCCTTCACTCAGAGTGGCTTTCCATCTCCTTCCCTTCCCCTCCCCACAACAGACACCCTGTGAGGTAGGTGTGGCTTGAGAGAGTGCTGAGAGAACTGCCCTTGAGAGAACAGCTCTGAGAGAACTGTGACTGACCCAAGGTCACACCGGCAGGCTTCATGTGTCTCAAAGTGGTTTACAAGCTCCTTCCCTTCCTCCTGCCACAACAGACACCCTGTGAGGTAGGTGGGGCTGAGAGAGCTCTTTTGAGAACTGCTCATGAGAGAACAGCTCTGAAAGAAGTGGTCACTGACCCAAGGTCACCCAGCAGCTGCATGTGGAGGAGTGGGGAATCAAACCCGGTTCTCCCAGATTAGAGTCCACGCTCCTAACCACTACACTAAACTGGAACGGAATACAACTGAACTTTCTCTTTTCCACATGTTTTAACTCATACATTGACAGCTGCTGCATCGCAGTGGCTAGGAATGCGAGCCGGCCAGTCCCAGGTTCGAGTCTTCCTTAGCCAAGAACTCAACAGCCACACTAACTCTTTTATGGATTTCCCTTAAAGCTGAGCCTAACATTTCAAATCTGGCTGTGACGATTCCAGCATCAAGGTACACTTTCAGCATCTGGGTGAACGGCAAGTTCTAGCAAAACGAGCATCAGGTGCACCAAACCAGAGTGCGCCGTTTCGAACGCCGATGCCGAAACCTTGAGGGAAGGGGTTTCTTCTGGAAATTCTCGAACGGAGCAAATATTCTGCTTAGTGTCAAGGACCGCTAATGAAGAAGGACCCTCCCTCTTCTCCTTACTCTTTACTGCTCTCTCTTTCCAGTTGTGGCAGCTTGCTGACAAGTATGTAGGAGTGGGACTTTGGGTCGATTTCCACCAGTTCCATCCCGAACGCCTGCCGAATCAGGGGAGGAAAAAAAAAATTAATTCAGACCAAAGTCTCTGCGGTTCCAACCAATGCTCCCTCTAAGCTGTGGAGCCTTGTGAGCAAAAATTCTACTTTGTGAGCTGCTGGCATTAAAGTTGTGAGTGAGCGATTTGGCTACTGCATCTGGAGCCATCCCTTCCTGAGCTAAGACAACAATATGTGAGCCAGAGGCTAAAAAACTGTGAGCTAGCTCACACTAATTCAGCTTAGAGGGAACACTCCTTCTGCTGTTTAGGGAGACATGCACACAAATGAAGACCGTTTCAGAGAGGAGCAGTGCTGCTCTGCAGTAGAAGAGCTAGGTTCGAGTCCAGCGGCAGCTTGGGAGACCAATAAGATTTTCAGGGCATGAACGTCCAAGAGCCAGTGTTCTCTTTGGTATCTGACGAAGGGAGCTTTTGAGAGCTCACACTCTGAAAAGCTGGTTGGTGCCAGTGGACTCAAAATCTAGCTACACACGAATGAAGGGTGTGTGTGGCTCAGCGGTAGAGCCTCTGGATGGCATGCAGAAGGTCCCACTTTTAATCCCCGGCATCTCCGCTTAAAAGGGACCAGGTTGCAGGTGATGGGAAAGGCCCTCTGCCAGAGACCCTGCGGAGTGTTAGAAGTGGAGGACTTGGCGCTGTCTCCTGTCTCAGACTTGAGAAGATGGCACCAAAGGGTTTAGACAGATACAGAGGTCAGGACACATTGAGTATCCTTTCCTTCCTGCTATCTGATCCTTTCCTTTGAAGTAGGATGCTACTCTTAGGGGCAATTCCCTCTGCTCCTTCATTCTCCCACACATTCTCCTCTCTCTCGCTCGCAAGAGGGAGGTGCTTGATCTCCATCTTGCACCATGGAGACCGGACATGTGTTCAGCATCCAACATCATCTAGCTAGTTAGGATATGTAATCTATGGCCCCGGTCACATGGGCCGGATATCGCGGGGGGGAGGCGTGGCTAATTGCCCCGGAGGAAACTAACGCGCGGCCGCCCGAGCACGTGTCCCGGTCGAGGTCCCATAGTTAGGGGGGAGATACCGACCAGACGGGTATCCTGCAGTGCGGCACAGAAGCCACACCGCGCAATCGCACTAGCAATCGCTCTTTGTGCGCATGCGCTGTTGGGTACTGTTGCGCAACTTGCGGAGACTTCGGAGACAAAAAAAACCCTTGTGTGCAACGAACAGCGCCGGGCGCTGGATGCCCCGTAAGTTCACCGGAAACGCGATCAGACCCCCGCCCTTGCCCCGCGGTTTCCGGAAACCAGTACCTCGGGGTTAACCACGGGAGCTCTACGCTTCCCAGATGTTGCGGTGTGATCGCGCCCGGAAAATCCGCCTACCATCCGTATCATCAGCGCGGCAAATGCTCCATGTGACCGCAGCTCATATCTATCTCTGACCTGCACTCTCAAGCATGTCTTTCCTTTAATAAAAGCTACTTATTAGTTTTTGAACTGATTGCTGACTCCGTGTAACTTTGTTGTGAGTCTCTTGCCCTAACCCCCAAAACTTCGCTGCGTTAAGGCCTTTGAGCACTCTGCTGTATTTCCATGGTTCCCTGGCAGTGCCAAGTCCAGAGAATCCAACACAGAGCGGCTGCTGGTCTGAGCAGACAAGACTGACCCTGAGGGACCAAGGGTCTGTTTCAGTAGAAGGCGGCGTCATCTGTTCGTCTGAAGGAACACTGTGAACATTTGTTTCACGTACATAACTTATTTGGCCCGACCCAAGCAGATTTCTACATGCAGTGGGAACGGCGAGAAGGAAGACTCCTACGTAATCTCAGAGGTCTTTCATTGACAAATTTACAGTGACCAATGAAACTGGCAGCTGAAGTGACAATTATCAGCATTTCGCTATGTTGTCTATGGAGAATGTAGACAGATGGCCCCTGGGTTTTGGCCTCTGTGTGACACAAGAGTGTTGGACTGGATGGGCCACTGGCCTGATCCAACATGGCTTCTCTTATGTTCTTATGTCTGGGGCAGCGTATTCTCGGTGCTTGGGGGGCAACAGTGGGAGGGCTTCTGGAGTCCTGGCCCCACTGGTGGACCTCCTGATGGCCCCTGGGTTTTGGCCACTGTGTGACACAAGAGTGTTGGACTGGATGGGCCACAGGCCTGATCCAACATTGGCTTCTCTTACATTCGTATGTTTTTATGCCGGATTGCCAGATGTGGGGGCCTGACCTGCAGTTAGCCAGCATCCTTGATCATGGGTCTAAATTATCCTCAATGAATACATAAAGGACTAAAACTGATACAAGAGATCTTTGCAAATGATTTAGGCCCCCCCCCCCAGCCCCCGGTCTTCTCCCAGTCGAGGCAGAGTGTGACAGTCGAGAACAAAACACTCTCTCCCACGTTTCTTCCCTTGAGACAGCCTACAGCAGAGGTCCTCCCCAACCTGTTTGAGCCTGCAGACACCTTGGGAGTTCTGACACAGCATAGTGGGCGCGGTCTCAAAATGGCAGCCACTGAACGGCTGCTTCAGGAGGCGGAGCCAGCCCCAAAATGGCCGCCACCGCTTCCCTTCAGTCACACAGTGGAGGTCGTTGTGCTGTGGTGGCAGCTGCCGCCTAAGCAACCTTTTTTTAAAAAAAAAGTCTGCACAGCCAATCAAATCTCCCCTGGCCAATCAGAAGTCCTGCTGGGCCAAAGCCCCGTCTGCCCCGCCCACTTTCTAAAAACGCTTGGTGGGCACCAAGAAAAGTGTCAGCAGGCACCACGTTGGGGAGCCGACCTAGGGTCAAGCAATTTGGGTTGGGGGTGGCAACTGTTTTGGACTCATCCCATTCTGCAGTGGCCTTCTGTACACAGTCAACACTTGGAACCATCACTGCTCATAAGTAAAAAGGAACAGAGGATGACACTACCAGTGTTCCCTCTAAGCTGAGTTAGTCTGAGCCAGCTCACAGTTTTTTAGCCTCCAGCTCACAGATTTTTGACTTGGCTCAGGAAGGAGGGCTCCAGAGCAAACTAATTTATGCAGTAGCCAAATCACTTGCTCACAACTTTAATGCCAGTAGCTCGCCAAGTAGAATTTTTGCTCACAAGACTCCACAGCTTAGAGGGAGCATTGGTCACACTACTGCCCAAACCAGTAAGGGACTCCCTCTTTACCTGCTGAAGGGTCTGGTTGGCACGTTTCAGGAGTTCGGGGCAGACATCTTTGTAGTCTTTGATGACATGTTTCAGAATATCTGCAAGGAGACAGAGATGTCATGGTCCTTCACGCATCTTCATCAGAATGCCCTCATAATAATAACAACAATAACAATAATAATAATCGTATGGCATTATGTGTAGAATAGTCAGGAGATCCTAAGATTGTCTGGCAGCCAAAAGTTCTAGCGCTTTTAGCATTATGCACCACTAGGTGGCAAGCTAGACTTTTTTAAGGCAAGAGAAAAAAACAAGAGTCCAGCAGCCCCTTAAAGACTAACAAAATATGTGGCAGGGCGTGAGCATTTCTGTGTGACTGCTCACTTCTTCTGGTACTCAAAGACGTGAGCAGTGACTCACGAAAGCTCATACCCTGCCACGTATTTTGTTAGCCTCTAAAGTGCTACCGGAGTCTTGCTCTTTTCTACTACTACCCATCTAGACCTATCTCCTTTTAAGGCACGAGACGTTTCTGAGGTGGTTTGCCATTGCCCGCCTCCGCATCACGACCCTGGTATTCCTTGGAGGTCGCCCTTCCAAGTACTAGCCAAGGCCGACCCGGCTTAGCTTCCGAGATCTGATGAGATCGGGCTAGCCTGGGTTACCAGGTCAGTGCTCAGAATAAAACAGATCAGTCAAAAGGTACCGAGACTGGCCCAGAACCAAGACCTAGTCATCCTGGTCTCAGCATCTAGATATCTGGAATGAGAGCAGAAACTGGAGAGGGCGAGATTAAAGCGTCTATCAACAGCTCAAGCCCAGAAGACACGCCTACCCTTTGTCCTCCTCCAATGGCTACGGCCTCCTGACTACCATCTCCAACTGACTCCACTCCAGCTATCTATACATGCGTGCGCTTATTCCTTTAAACGCCGCTTTGCCCCCCAGCTGGGACTCATAGTGGCTTAGAACATCGTTCTATCAAAGGATACAGAAAACAATCAGCGACCACACAGTAAACATTACAAGTCAGGAAAAAAACCCTGTGTGGAAGCACACTAAGAAAGGCAAACAAGACTGAAGAAACTTACTAATAGGTAACTTAAGAACATAAGAACATAAGAGACGCCAATGTTGGATCAGGCCAAAGGCCCATCCAGTCCAACACTCTGTGTCACACAGTGGCCAGAAATACCAGTGCCATCAGGAGGTCCAGCAGTGGGGCCAGGACATTAGAAGCCCTCCCACTGTTGACCCCCCCCCAAGCACCAAGAAGACAGAGCATCACTTGCCCCAGAGCCCCTAGCTATACCTTGTGGCTAATAGCCACTGATGGACCTCTGCTCCATATGCTTATCTAATTCCCTTTTGAAGCCGTCCATGCTTGTAGCACCCACCACTTCCTTGGTGGAGAGTAAAATCAGAAACATAATAATACTAATAGATATTAGCTAATAGGTAACTCAACGAAGAGTTACCTATTAACCTTTGTATGTTCTTAGTTCTTTTAAGATATTTTTTGTAGTCTTCGAGGTTCTTGATATCCTTGTCTATATTCAGCCTCTACTGAGGAAGACTTTCGAAACGAAGGTCGGAATATCCGGAGTCTTCGTCCATTGCAGACTTACCTGTTGGATCACTGAACGCGCCTGTTGAATGGTATACTTACCTGCTGGATCATTTATTGTACTCTTTGTATTTATGGTTGCGATATTACTCTTCATTGGGTTAGGTAGTTTCCCCCGCTCGAAAGGCAGTCGAATCCGACTAGGGATGCGGTGCTCATCTCCATTTCCAAGCTGAAGAGCCAGTGCTGTCCAAAGACGTTTCCATGGTCATGTGGCCGGCATGACTAGATGCAGAGGCGCACGGAACGCTGTTACCTTCCCACCGAAGCGACAGCTATTTATTTCCTTGCAGTTTCTTGCTTTCGAACTGCTAGGCTGGCAGGAGCTGCGACCAGAGACAGGAAGCTAACTCCGTCATGCGGCACTCGGGTCTCGAACTGCCAAACTACCAACCTTCCAGTCTGCAGTTCAGCATCTTAACCACTTGAGCCACCGCAGCCCTTTGAGTTACCTATTAGCTAATACTCATTAGTATTATCGTGTTTGTGATATTACTCTCCATGCAGTTGATTTCTGACTTGGAACATCCATTTTCTCACAACAATTCTGCGAGGTAGGCCAGGCAGAGAGTTTGCGATAGTAGAAGAGAGGATCCAAACCCGCCCGGGGTCCTAGTCTGCTGCTCGGTCACACTGGCTGTCAATAACCCTCCTCTCCATGCCTGTCTCTCCCTCCGTTCCGTAACGGTTCCCCAAGTCCTTGACCAAAGGTCTTGAGAGCTTCACCAAACCAAATACTGGAAGAAGAATCACGAAAAGGTGTTTGCTTAACCCAGCTCTGCCGGCTCAACGTTCGTAGTCCTAGCACAATTTGAAAGGGTAAAAACATCACCCCTGATCTCACCTGCCCTTTTGATGGGGATTTTCTTCTGGTCTTTGACGAGGAGGAAGCGTACCAGCTCGTTCACCTGAAGACAGAGCACAACACGGGCAGGAGTCAGGGCCGTGTGGATGCGGCAGTCCCGGGGAAAGAATGTGGCAACGGGAGAGAAGGAGGGTGGCAAAAAAATTGGGAGTTTCTGCCATCAAGTTACAGCTGAGTTATGGCAACTCCTGTAAGGTTTTTAAGGCAAGAGGTGTTCAGAGGGAGCTTGCCCTTGACTGCCTCTACACAGCAACCCTGGACTTACTTCCTTGGTGGTCTCCCATCCAAAGACTAACCAGGGCCGACCCTGCTTAGCTTCCGAGATCTGACGAGATAAAGCTAGCCTGGGCCATCCCTGGCCAAGGCAAGAGACAGAGGTGGTTTGCCACTGCCTGCCTCTGTGTGGTGATCCTTGACTTCCTTGGTGGTCTCCCCTCCAAATACTAATCAGGAGCAACCCGGCTTAGCTTCCAAAATCTGACAACAGGCTAGCCTAAGCGATCCAAGTCAAGGCAAGAGACGAACAGAGGCGGTTGGCCAGTGCCTACCTCTGCGTAGCAACCCTGGCTTTCCTTGGTGGTCTCCCCTCCAAATACTAACCAGGGCCGACCCTGCTTAGCTTCCGAGATCTGATGAGACCCGGCTAGCCTGGGCCATTCCAGTCAAGGCAAGCGACATTCAGAGGCGGTGTGCCATGGCCTGCCTCTGCATAGCGACCCGGGACTTCCTTGATGGTCTTCCATCCAAGGACTAGCCAGAGCCAACCCTGCTTCGCTTCTGAGATCTGTTGAAACTGGGCTAGCCTGGGCCATCCCGGTCAGGGCAAGAGACAGACAGAGGTGGTTTGCCATGGCCTGCCTCTGCACAGCAACCCTGGACTTCCCTGGTGGTCTCCCACCCAAGTAATAACCAGGGCCGACCCTGCTTAGCTTCCGAGATCTGATGAGATCGGGCTAGCCTGGGCCATCCAGGTCAGGGCAAGAGACAGACAGAGGTGGTTTGCCATGGCCTGCCTCTGCACAGCAACCCTGGACTTCCCTGGTGGTCTCCCACCCAAGTAATAACCAGGGCCGACCCTGCTTAGCTTCCGAGATCTGATGAGATCGGGCTAGCCTGGGCCATCCAGGTCAGGGCAAGAGACAGACAGAGGTGGTTTGCCATGGCCTGCCTCTGCACAGCAACCCTGGACTTCCCTGGTGGTCTCCCACCCAAGTAATAACCAGGGCCGACCCTGCTCTTGAGCTCTGATAAGATCGGGCAAGCCTGGGCTACCCAGGTCAGGGCATTTTTTTTAACTGGCTTCTTTGAAAAGCGACTTCCTTGCCTTTCTGACTAGAAAGTACACTCGAACATAGGCCATTGGATATGTTACACAAAGCCGTAAAATGGAGCTATGCAGAAGGAGACAGACAGCGGCTGCTTCCACAGGGCACAGCGTCCAGTTTAATAAGTACGGAATTTTCATTTGGTGTTTGTTTTTTTGGGGGGGGGGGATTTTTGGCATTCAAAGGACATGTCACCCTGGATGCAGCCAGCGAGAACAGGGCGATTTCAGGAAGGCACAGGCCAATGGCAGTGCGGGCTCCCTTACCTTGGCCTCCATCTGACTCTGCGGGCGCCGCTGTACGTTGCGTTGCAACTGACTGGAAGATGGCGTCTGGCTCAGGGAGTATTCTTCATCCACTTCCATGGGCTCTACCTGGGGAAGGGCAGGAAGGAGAATTCAGAATGGCGGCCTGCTCTGATCCCGCACTAGTTATGTATCACTGTCTGGATCGAAGGCATTCAATTCCGGACAAGATTATCAGGCACACACAGGACGGTTCTGCATTGTTTTTTTCCCTGCTTGTGTGTTCCTGCTGCATCAGGGTTACTTTTCCCCCTGTTCTGCTCCCTCTAGTGGTCAGTTCCATATTACACCGCTTCATGTCCCGCCTCTCTCCCTGCAGATTCAAACTGCAGGTTCTAATGCTGGACATAAAAAGATGTAATATTGAATCGACCACTAGGGGGAGCACAACACAGGCAGAACAGGAAAAAAAATATAACAACGAAGCAACAGGGACACACAAGCGAGGAAAATTCTTAAGAATTCGGAAAAGCCCACAGCCGGCTTGCTCCAGTGGTTCTACAAAGGATGTGTATACATCCACATAAAATCACATTAAATCAGGGGTCCCCAACTTTTTGAGCCTGCAGGCACCTTTGGAATTCTGACACAGCATAGTGGGTGCAACCACAAAAATGGCTGCCACGGGAGGCAGAGCCAGCCACCACAAAGCTGCCACATCTTACCTTCAGTCACACTGTGAAGATCCTTGTACTGTGGAGGCAGCTGCTGCCAAGACAATGTCTTAAAACATTTGCACAGCCAATCAAATCTCCAGTGGCCAATCAGAAGCCTTGCTGATCAAAAGCCCCACCTGGCCCCAACCACTTTCTAAAAGCATTTGGCAGGTGCCAGGAAAGGTGGGGGCACCACGTTGGGGACCCCAGCACTAAGTCAAAACAAGAGGCCACGGACAAGCAACAGCAGCTAGAAACAGAGGAAACACCGGGGCTAATTTAAGGTCAAGCAGACTCTGCGATGCGACGACACGGAGCTGGGCTTGCAGGACCGGAGGCTGGCTTGGATCATATTGTTTGCTCCAGGCCAGTGTTCCCTCTAAGCTGAGTTAGTGTGAGCTAGCTCACAGTTTTTTAGCCTCCGGCTCACACATTTTTTGTCTTCGCTCCAGATGGCTCCGGAGCAAAGTAATTTATGGAGCAGCCCAATCGCTCCCTCACAACTTTAATGCCAGTAGCTCACAAGGTAGGATTTTTGCTTATAAGACTCCACAGTAGGGTTACCAAGTACCTATCGCGAATCGGTGGGGGACACGTGCTCTCCCACCGGAACATTCCTGCCTGTAACACACCCGCGTCGCACTATGCTCTTGCCCAGACATGATGTTAGCACGCTAGGCACGTAGCTGGGCGACGCTCTGGCAATGGGGCTGAAAACTCAATGGTACCATCGAGTTTTCAGCTCCATTGCTACAGCATCGCCCGGCTACGTGCCTACGTCACGTCTGGGTGACAGCATCGTGCAGCATGCGTGTTTTCCCCATCGTTCCCGCCAAGAACTACATGTCCCCCACCAATTCGCGGTAAGTACTTGGTAGCCCTACTCCACAGCTTAGAGGGAGCATTGAGTCCAGGCAGGTCACACTTCTTGCTCCAGTCTACATACCACAGCAGAATAATAAAGTCCTATCAACTGCCCCAAGTTTCTTAGGGGGGGGGGATACAATGCAATTATTCACTAACAAGTGGGGACCCGCAAGAAACTTGCGGGAACGGCTGCCCCATTCCCCCCGCCTTTGCTTCCTCCCCTCTCCCCTTACTTCTCTCGTACTCTTTCTTCCTCCTGCCACCCCTTTCCTTACTCTCTCTCCCCTCCACACGTCACTTCCTCTCTCTTTCTGCCCTCCCACCCCATCACTCTCTCTTCCTGCCCGTCACTCACCTGGCCTCCCTCCTGCTTCCTTCCACAGCCCCCCCCCAGCAGCAGAGGCAGCTCTCCAGGGATCATAGATCTCCCTACTGCAAAGATCCACAGACCAACACGACTACCCACCTGAAACTATTTATAACTCAGTAAGATGAGGATTCTCAGCCTAGCACTGGCATACTTTCATTCAGGGGTCATTTCCTGCAGGAGCGCACAGGAGCGGAGCTCCGGCAGTAAAGAGCCCAGGGGGCGGGCACATGCAACAAGACCCACCCCCTGCTCCCAGCAGCCCTCAGTCAGAGCAAGAAGCAGCCAGGTAAGTTGCAGAGCTCCCCCCAGCCCAAAACAGTCCAGTGGCACCTTTAAGACCAAGTTCTATTCAGGTACAAGCTCTCCCTCCTCTGCGAGGACAGATCTGCACGTCTCCCCCCCCCCCATAGCTAGCAATACAAAACAGTCCAGTGGAGCCCGAGCAGTGGGTGTTGCCTTCTGACACACTTCCGGTGATGTCAGGGGTGTGTGGCATACACAAATAAGTTATGCTAATGAGTTATGTTAATGAGCTCCTGCCCCTCTTTCTCTACAAAATGACCCCTGGTAATACATATTTAGAAGTAAAGAAAAAAAATTCACAGTGGGAAGTCATTTTAAAAGTGCAAACCCCTCTATCCAAACAACAAACAGTAAAGGTCTGCTTCAAACTAAGTTCTGTTCTGCATGAGGCTGCAGTACACGATACGATGGCCGCGGATCACATCTGAATTGCACCGAGGAGCATGTTTAGACTCGAATCTTTAAAGCCAGTGAAAGGCTGAATGGTAGACAATTATCCGGGTTAGAATGGATAACAGGAAGTACTTCTTCACCCAAAGAGTGATTAACACATGGAATTCACTGCCACAGGAAGTGGTGGCGGCTACAAGCATGGATGGCTTCAAGAGGGAATTAGATAAGCATATGGAGCAGAGGTCCATCAGTGGCTATTAGCCACAAGGTATAGATAGGGGCTCTGGGGCAAGTGATGCCCTGTCTTCTTGGTGCTTGGGGGGGGGTCAACAGTGGGAGGGCTTCCAATGTCCTGGCCCCACTGGTGGACCTCCTGATGGCACCTGGTATTTCTGGCCACTGTGTGACACAGAGTGTTGGACTGGATGGGCCTTTGGCCTGATCGAACATTGGCGTATCTTATGTTCTTATGAATGGTAGACAATGGCTATCTGGGTCAGGGCAGAGACAAAAAGAAGTGGTTTGCTATCGCCTGCCTCTGCATAGCAACCCTGGACTTCCTTGATGGTCTCCCCTCCAAATACTAACCGGACTGATCCTACTTAGCTTCCGAGATCTAACCAGAAACAGAGATACACAGCAGGAAATGACAAAGAAAACAAAGACCGTGTATAAACGGTCAAGAATACTTCAAAGAATGCTCCAAATAGCCACAGACGTTTTATATAAGTGTGCAAGAAACCTCACAGTAAACACAGATGTCCCCATGCAAAACAAAACCAATCTCTACAAATGTTATTGAAACAATATAAACGACCTTCTGAAAACGCTGTGAAACAATGTAACACTGGCGTTCCAAAATCTGACAAGACCGGGCTGGCCTGGACCATTCAGAATACACACATGTATAGCCCAAACAAGATATGCCGCACATGTATTTTGTTCATTCTTCATGGGCCCTCTATGGACCTCCCCCAAGAGGGCAATCTACAGATCCTGAGGGGCGCATAGAACTTTTGGGCTGAAATGGAGAGACATCTAATATTTTCAGCATCTGCTTCTTCAAATTCCAGGGGCTTCAGACAGCTCACCTTGCCCTGAAGAGAGAATCCCAGATTTCTTTTCCAGGCCTCTAAACTAAGCACCACATGGGAAATCATTATCCGATTGAACCTTGAGGAGTTGGCTGACACAACCTTTAGGCATATGGGTCTCTGAACGTATGCCCCAGATCTGTGGGTCATTTACGTATATTGCAAATATACCTATATAAAGAAAATTACCCCTGTCTGAGGTGCTGTTTTCGTGTCCTCGTTTTTGCTTTGGGAATGAGGACCACTCAATGATACAGGGGGTGGCAGTGAGTTTAAGTTCGGAGCAACCCTTCTAACGCATTATGTTTGAATACGTTTTTAAAAATTGAATTCTAACCAATGCCCCCCTCTAAGCCGTGGAGTCTTGTGCACAAAAATTCAACTCTGTGAGCGACTGGCATTAAAGTGGTGAGCCAGCGATGTGGCGACTGCATAAATTAGTTTGCTCTGGAGCCATCCTTTCTAAGCTAAGATAAAAATGTGTAGGCTAAAAAACTGTGAGCTAGCTCACACTAACTCAGCTTAGAGGGAACACTGATTCCAACCTAGATGTTTTCCTCTCTTTTCCTCTTCTCCCAGTTTTATACAATCCAAGGTAGTCCCCCCCCTCCCCCAGCACATACAATAATCAAGAAATTCACATACCTGGGAAGGGCCAGGTCTTTTGTTACGCTTTTTCTGAGACATCTTTCCTTTAGGAAGCCTAAGGAGCAGGAGAAAGGTAAGTTACAGCAGAGATCCTGAAGCAGGAAGACTGATTTACATCCGTATCTTCGTCAGCCTTCCCCCCCCCCCAACCCTGCCTCTCTGCAGAGCCAAAACAAACTGCTCTTCCCCATCGCAAATCCCCAACTCCTCTGCTCTCTCCCCCTCTCCCCTCCCCCCCCCCCATTGACAGTGCTCCTCGGCTTTTTAACAGCCACGGGTCAGGCAGGCACCCCACCGCTTACTGCAACGCGACAGTGTGGGAAAGCTGTACCTGTTGAACATCTGTCCAGCACTCCTGCCTGAAAATAAACTTAGCTCCATCTGTTGCTGGAATTCCTACGGCACCCAATAGCTCAGACTGGCACCCCCACACACACACACACATCCCCCAGCAAGAGATCCTGGGCCTTTAACAACGACAACAGGCAGAAGTTCAACAGGTGCAACTCCTCCCAGCAAAATGCTGACGGGAGAAAGCTGAACCCGCTGAATTTCCGCGCACGAGCTCTGCTCGGGTCCCCCTCCTGACATCCTTGCGATGCTCGCACGGGCGGCCTTAAAAGAGCGACTCACGATGCTGCCGACACGGCATCCCCCACCCCGGCTTCACTGCGCCCGGCTCGACCGCCTTCCTCCGTTCAGGAACACCAGACAACTCTACGCATGCGCCTGTGCTGACGCCCGGTTCCCAGTGCGCATGCGTTCCCTGGTCGGCGCGCCATTTTGTCCGGGGAGTAGAGAACCGTCGGGTGTTGCTTAGCAACGCGGGCACGCCGCGTGCGCCCTTCGTGGTCTCGGGCTCTTGCTTTGATCTCGGCGGTCTCTCTTTAGATTGCGTGATGGGGCGTTGCAGAAGGGAAAGGCGGCGGAGGAACTGAGCGCCCCCGTGTCTCCGGTGTGGGACTTACTAAAACTAAGGACAGCGATTGCCCCATAGGGAATACATGAGTGTGCCCATAGAGAATAATGGAGAGTAGGCTTGCCCATAGGGGATAATGGAGTACACAATCGCCGATAGAGAATCCAAGACTGCCCATAAGGAATAATTGAGAGGCCGCTTGCCCATAGGGGATAATGGAGTACATAATTGCCAATACAGAATCCATGATTGCTCATAGGGACATAATTGCCAACAGAGAATCCATGATTGCCCAAAGGCAATATTGCCCAGTCACTCCGGCTCCCCCAGCTGTCCTTAGGGGCTCTTTAAAAAGTTATGGCCGCCGCCGCGTTGCCCTTCAGACATCACATGCGAGAGGTCATTATGGCTCTCCCAGCTCTCCTTTGGGGCTCCTTAAAAAGTTATGGCCGCCACCGCTGTTTTCGGCGGCAGCTACAACATCGGCGGTGGGGGGGCAGGGTGAAATGTTCTCCTGCCTCCCTGAGCCCCGGGGTGGTGGCCTTGGACTCCTAAGGGCAAATTCCACCTCTCCCGTGTGATGTCGTTAAAAAGGTAAAGGTTCCCTTGCTCGAAAAGAGTTGCGGTGCTCATCTCCGTTTCAAAGCCGAAGAGCCAGCGCTGTCCGTGGTCTCTGAGTGGTTTTCCATTCTTTTCCTTCAGATATCCAGGTTTCATTGGAATGGATGATGCGTTACAGTCCTTCATGCCAATAGATTCTACAAAGTCCATAATCTTTCGTTTCTGGCATAGAAGAAAAGTTCCATCCTCGAGTCTCTCAATTTGCATTCCGAGGTAGTGTTGTCTCTCATTAGGTAAAGGTAAAGGTTCCCTTGCTCGAAAGCCAGTCGAATCCGACTCTAGGGTTGCGGTGCTCATCTCCGTTTCCAAGC